AGTATGAGGTACAGTTTCGCAATAGGAAGGAGTGGGAGAAACAAAAATACACGTGAGTTGCCAATGTGCACTGTGGAATGCCACTTACACACAGCTGCAATAATAACAGGGGTGTAAACGCAAGCCAAGTGCATATCAACAACATCTGCAGGTAAATATGGAAAAGAATAGCTGCCCTCCAGCCCTGTATTATCACTAACCCCTCTGTGCTACCTTGCCACATTGCAATTCTTTACGATTCTAAATACATGCGAAAAATTCAACTGCTCTCGTTCGCTCACCTGTATTGCGTTTGTTCTAGTACAAGATTGTGGAGGTTGTTGGGACTGCTGGCTAAGTATGCCCACCTACATAACTGCTAAGAGGGCTGTAAATGGGAGCAGAAATTCTCCCCTTTAAGCAACACATTACCACTAATCACCTCCAGCATGCTAGCAGTCTAATGACTAGACATGACATCCCAGGGTTTCAAAGGAGACAGATGCCAGCTTATAAGAAAAGTGTCCATATGGTTAGTATACTTGAGAGGTTACATTAAGTATTATAGAAAAGGTGTCCACATATACTATTCATATGGCTTCACAAACATAAAAGAGATAGCTACAGAGGAAATAGGCCCGACTAGCGTACGAAGCTACAAGCCAACTTCACAGGGTATCCTTCTATTCTTACAAAACAGGACGAGACACAGCAGTCATGCAGCCTCTATAACAGGTGCACGCACGCAGTTTTTACGTAATACACAGTTAAAAGAGCCCCTTGCATATGCTTTTGATTATTGCCGGTAAAACGAGCCTTTTCCAAGTGGCCAATTCAGGGGCTCAGTTCCTTTGATCAGGCGCAGACGGCCCACGAGGTAGGCCCACCTGCTACGAACACCACAAGCCCACTCGCGTCTCCCTGTCGATGATTTATCGGTGACGGCCAAAACACTCCGGGGGCCTTGGATAAGATTTCTTGTGGGTTGGAGAAAGAACCAGTGAGATGTCCACGACAGACTCTCGTAATTATGGCCCGTTAGTATGGGGGCAGCCGAAGAATGCAGTACACTACTGGTGAGCGAGACACAAGCAAGAAGTGGACTGTTATAAAATGCACGCAAGAGGAGTTTCTTTATGAATGAACAGCTCATTGTACAGCCACAATGCCAGGGGACTTTCTCCAAGAATCACATGCTTTGGCACATATAATAAAAGCGTGAAAGGCATTATTTGAATCACACATTTCGCGCGGGATTAGCTTCCTCAAAACAACAAGAAAGGCTGCGGCATTAGTTTTGGCTGTCCCTTCATGGGGGCACTAATTGCCTTGCCCCCCCCATCAAAGCCCACATAAAGGCTCTTTCACTGCTCCCTGCAGAGGAGAAAAGGGAGTCTCATTGTTCCACTGCCTCTTTGATCAATCACTCAGCCACCTGCTGGAGCTCCCGCAACTATTCTCTATAACAACCTTTCCAGTCCTTACATATTCTTACATAACCGTTATGCAAGATAACATGGTGCTTTGCGGAAACGACAAGCTATTTGACCATTTGTGCTACACTCCTTTAATTCTTATGTAATGTTACGTGGCATTCACATACATAACATTACACAGTCGCACAGCTGCTTTACTCAAGTATGTTTGTGAGTGGGGAGTCACAAAGGCTACCCTTAGTAATGAAAGAGTAACGAGCTTGCCAAGCGTGGGGAGGACGAACATGTGTGTGTGGTCTCTGAGGTAATACGGAGGGGGAATAAGGTGTATGGACATATAGGGACACAATGGGCGGCATGTGTGAATGGAGGGAAAGAGATAGCGAGCGCTGGTGGGGGGAGGAGGAAAGCCTCTCAAGAGAGAGAAAACAACCCAAAGACACAATCTCTCTGGCTACACAATCTACCGCAATCTTTGCAGGAGAAACCTTTTTTTAGCAAAACAAATTTTAGCAAAGAGTGATTTGCTTGCCAAACTGCCGACGGTGTCCGCCCACAATATTCCTTTTACTGCTGTTCTCTCAGTCTTACGGCCTGTTATGAGCCATTCTATCTTTTTTCATTAACAAATGCCGCACACTATTGCCGAGCAAACAGAGTAAGTGCGTCCTATGAGCAATCTTTAGGCGAGCACCACACCAAAATTGAAGAGCGATATCACGATTAAGTGTAATAATAGGGTTAGCGCATATTATACCACCACAAAGGCACCATATTGTACCTGGTTTTAGTGGGTGCACAGGAAGCCACTTGGAGCTAAACCCACATGTTAGAGTTATATGTACACATGGAGTAAATACCTATGGAGACTGAACCGTCACCATAGTGCCGAACTGAATCCAGAACTTCTCTTATCGGATCCTAGGCTAGGGGACTTCCGTTAACTGGCATGGGTACAGGTGGAGTAACTTCACACGGTCTTTTTGTAAAAATACAATTTTGCCAGTGTTCGAAGTGGTTCACAAAACTGCCAGTGGTTGCTGGTGGAAGTCCAGCCAGTAACTCTCCACTTCCTGTTTGTACTAAGCTCTGAGTGAATCAAACCCCAGCTGGATTTACACTTTATGGTCTTCAATGAAGTTGTAAAAGCGAGGTTTTCCTTGTCTTACACACATTCATGTGCATGGGAGTTACACAACAGTAGCAGTCATAGGTACAGGTATATATACATACAAGGGAGGGGGTGCAGAGATTATCGCCATCTTCTACCTCCTACTAGCTTTGCTGTAGTGTATACACACTTCAACGCTGCTTGAGTGAAACTCCAAGTCTTTTACCCCCAGCTCTGCTTTTGCTAGTCATAACTACTGTGGCCACCACATAGCAGTACAAGTTGTGGTGGAGGAGAAATAGATCCCCGTGCATCCTAGAATAGAGTGTGGCTTATCTCTCCGCTGTATTGTTTTGTGGCTGCAACTGTTAACTCCTCCTTTGTTTCAACCACCATCGGTGAAGCTCTATAATTCACTCCAATCCCAGTTCTTAGCGTAGTAAATTAAGAAGCGTAGCTGAGGTTTTTTCCAACCCTCCACAGCCTGTTGCGAGGTTTGGACGTATGTATGTGTATCTCCTCAGATTACTTAGCACGTACGCATACACTGGACGTGCGGGGTCTTCATCTGGTCATCTCTTCATCCCGTGCAGTGTTTCCATCTCGACGATAGGGGAGAGCGTGAACTCCTGTCTTTGTTTCAACCACCGAACAACAGCGGAACAAAGTGGAAGGATTGTATATATACAACACCAGCACCATTAACACAACATCATAAATCATACTGTAGAAGCCCTTTCCTGGAGGCCACAGTGGGTGCAAGTGGGGTGTGTATATACATGTGTATATACCAACAGACCTCTAATAGCCACTGGAATTCACACCAAGGAGTTTTCATTGGGGCCAGGTAGCCTCAGCAATGCCATTGATTGTTGCCAGGGCCACATGCAGATGGGAGAGGGGGAGATGAGGTTGATTGAGGCCCCACAAGTGAGGCTTTGAAGCTCCCAGCATGCTTGATTTTTTTGGCACAGCTCACTACCAGCAGCATAGACAAGTTAGACCAGTTTTCCTATTTCCTATTTACGGTTAAGTAAAGGTGATGTCATCTACACCACACCAGCTAGACCGGTTTCTTCTACATCCCCATACTCAATTTTTGACCAGTTTCCTTCATTGGGATACACCATGTACATCACCCTATGGGATATTTAAAGCAATCGATCACACCCATGCCTTAAAAGTCCGCCAACACATTAACCTTTTGCATTATATTCCCGATAAAATCATTGGTGGTAAAGTTTAAAGTCATGCTCACTTCACTTAAAAAACCCCAAGCACTTACCAAACACCTTTTTGGAAGTGTATAGTGCTACCAAAACATGGTGTTATACCACTTCAGGTGATGGGGTGCAAATAGGTCTGACTGGCTCAGCAGTGTATACAACAGAATATCTGTATTATAGTAAGTACTGGTTATTGTTGCAGACACTAGTGCAGTGCATTTTACCACCAGTGTATTTAATGGCTTTGAACAGACAATCACAGCTGGCAGGTGTAAAACAGCAGAGAAGACTGGGCTTGGAGCAATGATACTACTTGACATCGTGCTAGGGACCTGTTGCACACACACATACAGCTTTGATCCAAAATCCAAAACATGTACACAGACTGGTGGACATAGCTGTTCCGCCACTTGACTCACTGCATCAAGTTATTTTTAGTAGCATGTTCCAAATGCAATGTGTAAAAATAATACAGTAAAATTTTGGACACCGAGAACTAAATTTTGCAGCCTCAATAGATATGTGCAGGAAAAAAGCAAATCTGTTTGTGCTAAATTGGTTGAAGTACACACACAGTAATTAGGACTACTGTAAACACTTCATGTTAACAATAGAGACTTTTGTTTCCAAACAAATGCGAACACTCCTGAAAATTCTCGGAATCACGCGTTCCATTGATCTACGTAAGCACAAGCCCTTGCCAAAGGCTGTTTGCTGTAATGAATGAGACGATGGGATGCCTGCTTGTCATGCTTTGTGACGATGTATAATATATGGCGACCGTGCCATGGGCAGTAATAGTAGTGTGTGTACATATAGTGTGTACATCATGGTGTGAGTACTGGAGAGGCTTGGATCAAAGACTAATCGGGACAAAGTGGAGGTAATGTAATGGACACGCGGCTCTCTTTGTGCTATTTGGGTATTGAGTTCCAGCGGGCTTTAGTGTGTATGCATACAATGTGTCCAGTCCCTTGACAAGTGAACAAATGAACACGAAAAAAAACAAGCACTTGTATAGCACCACATCTCGAAAAGCGAATGGAAACTACATACGTATGTGCATACATACATTATGTACTCATCAATCCTGTATACATGTAACTAAAAACACTGTAATAAGGAGACGAATGTATGAAAAAATGGCGACAAAAAATACCAGCACACCAACATCCCTCTTGAACGAACGAAAAAAACGTGGGAACTGAATTAATGCCTCACACAACATTGGAAAAAGAGCCAACTCACGTGGGACGATGACTCTTCGGACATGGGGTGCATGGAGTGGGTGCCACTCTCCACAGAGTATGGGTAGGCCACGGCGTCGACGCTCCCGATGTGCCCAGAAACTCTTCGACGACCCGACCCGCCACTGGTTGTGCTCTTGGTGAGGTCCACCACAGCCGCATGGGTAGTGGGTTGGAGTCCCGACGGTGTGTGTCTGGCCGCCCCACCGCTCTGAGCCATTAGGGACCTTGGGGTGCTCGGCTGAATAATCGACGGGCCCTGAGACGTGATTGCAAACTGAGTGAAAGTCTGAACGACGTCTCCACCGCTAGCCGTCGGCTGTTGCTGTTGCGATGCCGTAGAAAAGACGCTCACGTTCTGGTGGGGAGTGTCAGTGTCGCGGTTATCGTCCCCGTCCATGGGATCTACGGGTGTGTTTCGACCCGAACTATTGGCACCTTCGCTCACAATGTCTTCCTCGGTGAGCTTCTCAGAGAGCGGTCTTCGCGGACCGACATGGTACTCCGAGGGGGCGTAGTTTATGACCTGGAGCCCCGTGGTGAAACTGGCCCCGCCGTCACTGGAACAGCCACTGGACGAGCTTACGCTCGGGCAAGAAGAGATGCTGGAGGCGTAGGGCGACTGGATGAGCATCATGGGGGAGAGGGGCGAGGCGTGGAGGTAGCTGAGTGGGGATTGGATGGAAGTGAAGCCCGGGCGAGGAGACAGGATGTGCTGAGGGAGAATCGGTGCCGTTGTGGGGCCTGCAGACACAGAGCAAGGGTTCCAGGTCACGGCAGCACTGGAAGAAGAGGTCGAGTTTGAGGAAGAAGAAGAAGGTGTGGGGTGATCCAAGGACCTTCTGGTTTTTGAAGCGGAAGATGAAGAGCTTGGTGGGTCGGTGGGTGGCGAGGGGATCCCGATTTGAGACATGGCAGCAATGTTCCACGGGGAGAGGACGCTGAGCGTCGCAATGCCGGAAGGGGTCGGGGGTGACATGGGGCACTTGACAAAGGGTGCGTAGAGCTGTGCAGAGTACGATGTGCGAGGGGGCGTGGTAGGGGTGGTGAGGCTGGTCAGAACACAGTTAGCGGTTCCTCCTCTTCCTCCTGTGCCAGTCGACTGGGGTTGAGAGGAAGAGACAACGACGCTCATAGTGGCCGAATTTGCCTGTGTCGTGAGAGTTGCCGAAGTTGACACCGAAGAAGGCGGAGTCAGAATGGACGAGCCCGGGTTGATCATCGTTAGACCTAGATTAGGGGGGCTCTGTTGCACGAGCGGGTAGACCCCCGGGGAGAATTTCCCGGTATTTCCCAGAGAATTGTTGGCGGTGGGGGTCCCTGCGACTGATGGGGTGAAGGGGAGGAAGGGGTAGATGGAAGTGACTTGATGAGGATGGAGGAAGAATGGGCTCCTCTCTGCTTCGGCCACTCTTTTGTACAGCATCTGCTTCTGCTGCTGCATGATCTGCAGGGAGAGAGAGAGAGAGAGGCAGGGAGAGAGAGAGAGAGAGAGAGAGAGGTGATGAGGAGTATCCACACATGCAGTTGAGGATGTTGAGAGGAAAAAACAAATGGTGGTCAATTTGTGTAGCACACGCACAAAGGAAGAGGGAATGAAGAATGTGCGCATGATCAGAGATGTTAAAAGTGGTGTATCAATCTCTCATTAGAGACAAATTCAATTTAGTTGGTGAGTTCAAAGGAGTTGTACATTCATAACATCTGTAGACGCTATAATTACATGGCAATCCCTTATACTAAGTGCAGTAGTGATAGGGCACCAGTAGCACTGGTGGTTGAACAACACTGGCTCTGTTACACATGGTAGCACCCAACCAAGGACTCAAAACATTGACTCACACAAACACAATGCAGTTCTCTCTGTTGTGGTTGTTACATCAGCTACGGTAATTTTGTACCAATTACAGTGAGCACTCATTAACACAGGGTTCCTGGGTGGTTTATGCACAGCACCTACAGTACACCACTCTACATTGCAGTGCTAATTGGTGTACAGTGGTGCCACCATGTCTTTGCTCAAGGGCAGAGATTTGTACAGTGTCGATATGCTCGGCCAAAACAGCACTCCCACTCCCGTGTTCACTGTCGATTGTAGTGTCTAGACTACGTAGGACGGGGCACACTATTTGCTTCCGCGAGACACGTTGCTCAACTTTAGTACTGCACCTCTTGCTGTCGCACAGAATTGTGACTGCACTATATATGGAATCTCTGCTCTCTCTCTCTCTCACCATCTTTTCCTTCATTGTACATCACATCTCTCTTCTTATTATCATATTGATAGCACACAAAGCCTACAACTTATCCATCCCCTTTAGAGCAACTTCCAGGCAATATTCATAGGGGATGCACTATACACACAATGGGTGCAGCAATCTGTACCTAGTTTGCCCAGGGGCCCAAGGCCATATTATACAGACCACACAAGCATGCCTCATCATCACGCAAGAATGTTTGCCAACAATAAAAAAACAAACTGTCCCAGGACAATTATGCAATAGGTTTCACCTAATAATGACCCCTTTTCTTTTGGTGCATGTGGAAGTACAGCATTTTGTGAACAGACAGAGAGGTTGTAACCTGTACAGTTGACTCAACCCTTGTCTCCACTCACTGCTAACTGGTGTCACAACTGAAGAGGGTGAATTGGAGGGGAGGAGGGATTCTCAGAAACACACCGGTTGTGAGATGAAGTTAGGACCGAGACAAAGGAAGAGGGAGGTTATGAGTAGGTCACTTCAGAATTTGACAGCCCCTGAGAAAATGATGGGTTAATTAATAAACTTTATTGGGGGACAAATTTTTTACCTTGTCTCTGTCGGTTGCCATGACAGAAGAGTAGAAGAGATACCCAAGCTCCGCCCCTTCCGATACGGCGGCACTGTAGTGGCTTCTCGAAAACTGCGGAGGTTCGTTGACATCTCCCACGTGAAGTACAACAGTAGCTTCACTTGGGGCACCAACGTACGCATAGGCCTATATACATAGGGTTGGAATCCATAAAGTACAAGGTAAGCTGTGTATTTATTACCTCTACAGTGATGGTATAGCGGGAGAAGGTCTCCCTATCAAGGGTCCCAGTTGCATACAGATAACCAGTTGATGAACCCACGGTGAAATTCAACCCCTCTGGAGCCGGACTCCCTGAGAATATGTGACAAATGAGCCTCAATGCCAGAAGGAACTCTGGGGATTGGAGCTCACATTTAATTATGGAGTATACGACTTCGTCTTCATCTGTTGCAGTGGCTGATACATTCACAACGGACACTCTGGTCTACACGGCACAATAAACAGGGTGTGCAGTGAATGGAAGAGGAGTGCAGTTGAGTTCTTGATGATTAAAGGAGTTCGTTGAAGTACGCAGGCCGGGGTCCTGACAAAACATTATTTTGCTTTCCTCCCTGGCTTGTGCACTTAGACAAAAAATCAAATTGTGCCACGTACTTTGTTGGTGAACTCTAGTAGCTCAACTTCATACACTCTCTGGTCAAACACAGGGGGAACTGGATCGTCTACAATGGTGACATTGATGCTAGCACTCAGCGATGGTTCTCCTTCGTCCTGTCACAAAACACTGGATAAAGTGAGCTCCATTTTTCAGAGAGTCTTACGGTGGCTGTTATGGTGAGCTGGTATTCGAAGCCGACACTAAGACTCATGGTAACTGTCAGATCTCCCGTGTAGCGGTGGATGGAGAACGAATCCTGGGACCAAGACAGTCGGTGAAAAACTGAGAGTGGAAGTTGACTCCACACTCACCTCCGTGTCTCCACCGGGTCTGCTGATCTGATGGAGGGAGTACTCCAGAGCCGCGTTTACTCCAAGATCATTATCGGTGGCCGTGATCCTCCTCAGTACGTCTCCTACTGCCACACTCTGTGTGAGGAAATAAAGATTCTGACAGAGGGTGCTGCTGGAGGCACAAAAAACTGACCTCAACGAAGATTTGGGTATCAATGTCCTCGAAATAGGGGCTGTCGTTCACGTCTTCAATTTGAACAGTCACTGATAGAATCGACTGCGATGAACGCAAAAAAATTCGCAAAGAGAAATGGTGTACAATATTGAAATCTTACCCTATTTCCGTGGAGACCTGCCGACTCGTAGTAGGCAAAAACACCAAACCTAATGGACAGCGGTGCACCGCTCTGTGGGCAGGGCAGAAACGATTCACCGCCAGCGTGCATAGAAGGACAGAACGTACAATGACGAGAATATTTACGCCGTTGGGACCGACTGCGATCTCGCCCGAGCTGGAGCCGATCTCGAATGCCCCTTCCCACTCGTCTCCCAGGTCCTCCACTCCGTACAACACCGTCTCTTGCGGTAGACCTTGCGCTCGCACCAGCCCCACCTCCGTACCTGCGTTCCGCGACAAACTCGCTAAAACTGTCTACTAGTGTGTTGTTGAGAACAACAGAATTTTAACGTACTGCAAGAGACAGACCTTTTGTTGCTCTTTCTATGACCGTGAACGTCACTTCGCCAGAGGAAAACAGCGGCTCAAACACGGGAGCGTCGGAGCCATCTGCAGAACGGTGATGCTATAATCTCACCCGGGCGCCCACGTCCCGAGCAGCTTACCCTGTGCATAGGACACGCTTGCGAGAGCGAGAAAGAGAAGCGGAGAGAACGGAGACATGGCTAGCCAGCTAGCTAGCCCACACGCAAAACACACGCCCCCTTTCGCTGTAAGATCAGTATGCGCATGCGTAATGAAAGAAGCCCCACCCTTGTTTTTGCAGCGTCGCTGGGAGCCCCACCTTCGTTTTACAGCGCAGCCTAGCCTAGCCTCTATATAGCGAGGTCTTCGACAGAAGGATCCGGGATAAGGGGGTTAGAGGCGGCTCTGAAAGATGGATTTCAGGACATGTTTCTGCATCGTTTTGGCTTCCCTCGCGTCTGTCTTGCACGCAGCACCAGGTATAGCTAATATCGTTCAGCTCTAGTACACTCACTCAGTCCTCTCTCTTTCTTCTCCAACAGAGTTCCTCGGCGGGACCGCTCCACGGACTGCGTTTGCACTAGAGAGCTACGCCATTAGTAAGATTCGATTCCAAACTCTCTTCACCTCTCTGACTGTTCTGTATGTGTGTGTGTATGTATGCAGGGAGACCCGTTGCCTTCTACCCTGTCATCGACCTTGCGAACCCCACTTTCGAATTGGCAACCAGTCAAGTAACCTTTACTGACAGCTCCAACCAGTTCGATGCAGATGTAATAAACAACGTTATATACGTAAACGTCTCAAACTCCCTGTTCGTTGGAGTAAGTCCTCTCTCTATTTCATTATTGTCTATGGGGGGGATTAGTGTCAAAATTACGCACACCATAATTGTCGACAGGGTACCTTAGTGCTTTTTCGGATTAGTAAAGACTGGGAAATGTAGCCTTGCAGCCAATAGCTACTTGGCATGCGGAAGAGAGATTGCATGTCTGTGGACTGAGAGATACAGTCTGAGTGGGCCAGACATCCGGTGCAAGACGTGTGAATCAGCTTAACGGATCGCGTTGGGGTGAATTCATGGGGCTGTTTTTGCATTCCTTGTTCACTTCTCTGACCTCTATCCTCTCTCTCCCTTTCGTAAACCAGGAGTGGGCTGTGTCTATTACTCTGGCTGGAGCAGTAAGTCTGAAACTCTAATGAGACTCATGCATTGAACAACTGTCTCTGCAGGGAACTTTGCCAGTTACTATAACCGTTTACCAGACTAATTTCCCGCCAACGTTTTTCGTTGATAACTATCGTGAAGAAATAGATGAGACGGCATCAGTAGGATCAACGGTTGTCACTGTAACGGCTGTTGATTTGGCTGCAGTAAGGGACTGAGTCTGTTTTCGATCTTGTCAAAACCAGTCCCCCACTCAGGAGCTGGGATCTGATCCATCTGATGGAGTGTTTGTGTACGAGTTTGATGGAGAAGATTCCATTTACTTCTCCATTGATCCAGATTCAGGAGTCATCACCTTGGCTCGGAGTGTTGACTATGATACTGGAAATACTGAGTTTGTTTTTAATGTAGGTCTTTCCCCAACCCCTTCTAGTAAAGTAGCTAACTGCAGTGACATGTCATCTCTCACAGGTAATAGCACAAGAGACCGAAAGCACTGCCATGCTCAGTGCCAGAACAGGGATTCAAATTTTTAGTGAACAACATCAACGACAACACCCCGCAGTTCATTGGAACCTCTTTCCACTACACAATCCCAGAGAACTCTGGCGCGGGTCTCCGTGAGGCTGACGATGGGACTGCCATTATTACTGTACGCCGGTGTTGACTTACAAAAGATTTCCACACAAAAACCGCTGTCTAATTTTGTGCAGGCAACTGACGGGGACGTAGGGACATTTGGAGATATCACATACACACTAACTGGTGGAGGAACACTGTAAACCTACTTCTTAGTCTGTTTCATGTACAGTTTACTTTCTGGCCCCCTTCCTCACTTTTCTCTCCGCCAGATTTGACATAGAGGTGACTAGTGCCGGTGCACAGCTGAGGACCCTGCAAGAGCTGAATCGAGAGGGACACGCCCATGTATACCATGACTCTGGAAGTCACGGACACTGGGGGTCTTAGTGATAGTGTCACCATCGATGTGACCGTGGCAGATGAGAACGATAATCTCCCAGTCATCACAAACAACCCTCTGACTGCCGATGAATCAGTGCTTGAGGTACACACACACACACACACACACACAAAGATTCACCAGAGATCCGTCTACTTATTTGACACACTAGGATATAGCTACATTAGAGTTTCTGCATGTAAAATTGTTGGTAAACTTTTACCAGTCTTACCTATGTGAACTTTTGGTGGTCCCATTTCCACCTACCGGTTTGGTGAACCTCACTCCCTATCAAACACTGCAGTGTCAGTTGGACGGGAGGCCGCTGTCAACTGTCACAGCAGTAGATACAGCAGACGGTGGTGCCCTTGCAGAGGTGGCTTATGAGGTAGTGGGAGGTAAGGAGACCTCGGTGAACCCTGCTCCCAGCTCATTGTCCTTCTCGTTGTCCCCAGGTGATACAAATCATATCTTACTCAACGAGGAGACTGGAGAGCTTTCTCTTGGCTTTGCACCCATCGACTATGAAGATCCTTTAGAACGCAGCTTCTCTCTCTCAGTGAAAGCCATAGATAATCCCAACGGTCCTGTGACCAGGCAGCAAAAAGTAAATCATCTCTTCTCCCCTTCTCTCTTTCACACACGATTCTTGAGATTTCACCCACATAAACTCTCTTTGTGCAGTCTTTGGAGACGTTCATACAGACTCTCACTATTGGGGACTGCAATGACAACCCTCCAGTGTTTGGCTCACCAACCTACGAGTACACCGTGACAGAGAACATGAACAATCTCGTAGGGCCTCTCATCTCTACTACTGATGCGGATGCTACGGTTGCAAATCAGGGCGTCACCTACCAGATCACTGACCCAGACCCGGGGAACTGGTTTGACATTGCTGCAGATGTGAGCTACACACACGCGCTACCTGATGCAGTTTACACACATCATGTCTGTAGCTTGAAAGTTTGCCGGTTAAACTACAAAGCCAATGTTCACTGCATACTGCAGAATGGCAAATTAACCTCTCCTCATTTACTTCCTCAGGGGACACTCTCTATTCGCTCGGAGCAAGTTGTGGACAGAGAACACACGGGTGTCTTGACCGACAGTCAGGGAAATGGAGTTGTCTCGTTCACCATTGAGGCAGTCAATGCTGGGACATCTGGCACCCTCACTTCCGTTCAGGATGCCCAAGTATGAACTCCATGTTTAGCCCTGGGGAGAAATCACTACAGTAAAAAAACAAGATTTAGAGCAAAAAACCTGTATTATATCTATTCTAGGTTGTGGTGACCATCAGTGATCAGAACGACAATGCCCCAACAATGGACGAAAACCCACTCACTGGGACGACGTCCATCGTAGTTCTGGAGGATGCTCTGGTTGGCACCATCCTGGCGGTAGTGCGAGCGTCTGACCCTGACGTGGGAGACAATGCTGTCATCATGTATAAAATATCCAGTGGGAACGATCTCGGTAAAGTCCTTTTCTCAAGATCTGTACACAAACACTGTGTGTCATTGAGAAACCCTCTCACCTCGGTTTAGGTAAATTCTCCCTGGACGAGACCAATGGAGTTTTGACTCTGGCAGAGCCAATCGACTTTGAGATGGAGGCTCGCTCTACACCGTGACCATCACAGCTATAAACCCTCCCCCTGCCCCCACCCCACCAGACTCTAGTGATGTATGTACTCGAGAGGGAAGCAAAAGTTATAGGGATCCATTGTGCAATGGTTTTCATTATATTTCGTCTAGTGGTAGTACACAACATGGCTCTATTATAGATGCTGCGTATCTCTTTCTCTCCCTGGACACAGGACGATATAGTACTCACCATCATGATTGAAGGTGCAAATGAACATGCCCCTGAATTTGCCAGTGATCGGTATGATGTGGACATCTCGGAGTACAACATCCTAGCATCGGCACAGCAACACACTGCAGGCGAAATCATCGCCACGGTAACAGCCACTGATGCAGATGCCAACGACGAAATTGAATATATCATCACCGGTGGAAACGAAGACAATCTCTTTGAAATACCTAACCCCTTGGTTTGTGCATTTTTACCGAAAGTGTCAGTATTTTTTAATATGTGTATGTCTCTCTATTTCAGTTTGGTAACATTGTTCTGAAAGACCCAACACTGATAGATTTTGAGACGACCACTTCCTATGCTCTTATCATCACTGCCACTGATCTTGTTATTCCTGAATCTGACCGAAGAACTGTCAGTTCATCAGTCACCTTAACTCCAATCAGATTATCTTTTCATCCCCCCCCTCTCTCTCTCCACAGACTACTACATACCTATACATTTCAGTGTTAGACGAAAACGACAACTTGCCAGTCTTCTCCAACGACATGTACACTGGTCGCGTGGATGAAGAAGCGCCCATTGGGACCAGCATTATTCTGGTAGATTTCACAATATCTCTGTTGTTGCAGCACTAACTAGAGTCCTCCGCAGACAATTCCAATCTCTGTGACTGATGCGGACTCACTGTACGGGATGGAAACAGTCGAGTTTGAGATAAATACAGTTGGATCTCCTCTCCCTTCTCCCTTCCTTGCCTTTACACTCTCTGAAGATGGCACCAGTCTTACAACTACCATAGCCATTGACAGGTATACGTAGAATAGAGTATTATGAACAGTCTTAATTCTGCAAGCCTGGATCTCATTGCTAGATATTTGCTATTTCTATTAAGATACTGAGCTCCTTGTGTGGGCCTGAAAGTGTCCTTATCAGATAATATATCCACTAGCACTGTTTGTTAGTTCATTGTCTGGTGTATGATTGTATATACAGAGAGGAAGATGAGGGCGTCTTTACCTTCCAAATGAGAGTAGTTGATGCGGCGGGCAATGAAGACACTGCCATGATGACTGTAGACATTTTGGACATCAACGACAATGCACCAATGATTCAGGAGCCTCAGGGTGGCTTCCTCATCATGGTAGCGGAGAATAACCCCGTGAACTCGGTTCTCGTGACCATCACAGCAGAGGACACGGATCTCGGTGTCAATGCCGAAGTTTTCTTCACCCTACAGGGAGGAGCAGGGTACTTTGACATTGGTCATGATACTGGGGTGGTGACACAGATAGGTTCGCTTCAGGCACTGGAGCCTCCGGTGACATTCACACTGACAGTGATAGCCAGGGACAGTGGAGGCCTCAGTTCCAGTCGGGATCTGATCGTGAACCTCACGTACTCCAACGACCATGCACCCGTCTTTGAATCCAGCGTGTACTCTGGCTCAGTCGCAGAATGTGCGGAGGACGGTACACCCATCTCTCCAGTCCTCACCTTGAGAGCCACGGACGATGACACTGACTCTGTGGTCAGTTACTACATCGAGTCCTCCAGCGTTGGAGACCTCTTCCAGCTGGAGAATATCGGACAAACTGCCACCATTCGTAGTGCTGGGAGCAGTGTATTTGACAGGGAATCAAGAGACACCTACACCTTCACAGTCTATGCAACAGATGGGATCATAGGGACAGATGATGACTCGGCCACTGTCACCATCTTTATCAGCGACTGCAACGATCATAGCCCAATCTTTACACAGGACATGTATGAAGTGGATGTTCCTGAAGGCACGGCCAGTGGTGCCACGGTAATCCAGGTGCACACAAACGACGCAGACATTGGCGAAAACGAGGAGGTTCGTTTCAACGTGGAATCGGTCAGTCCTTCCTCGTTCAGCAACGTTTTCCACGTGGATCCACTAACAGGAGGTATAGTGGCGAGTGTCAACATTGACAACACATATACCGGGAGTAGTGCGTGCTCCACTCTGGACGACCACTCTAACAACGTGACTCTCACAATCAAAGCTACGGACCAGGCCACCATGCAGGACCAGTTGAGCAACTATACCACTGTGTTCATCAGACTACTGGACAGAAACTCAGAGGCACCCAGCTTCGTCCCGTCCAGCTTCTACAGCTTTGAAATCTCTGAGAATGTCGACGGTGTGGATCTCGGGACTGTGGAGGCAGTGGACGAGTGTGATATGGACTCCGATGTCACCTTCTTCTTGGTGAGCGGTCAAGACTCTGCCCCCTTCGAGATCGACCAAGACACGGTGAGATCACCTACGCTTGAAACATCCATTTACAATTAAAGTCGTTGGAGAGAGTGCAAGAAAAATTACTGGTGTATTGGCAAGATTTACTTGTGGTAGCTACAATGTTTCTCAATCGCTGAGCCATAAATCTTATAGGAATAAATTCAAAACCCCACTAAACAGATCTCACGCCTACCTGAATGTTCTCCACATGTCTGCAGGGTGTGATTCGTGTGATAGCGGGGCTGGATAGAGAGGTGAACGATTTCCTGGTGGTCCAACTGCAGGCAGTGGATGACGGCACTGACCCAGGACCTCAAACTGGACATGCCTCTGTGAGTCAGCTAGCACCAAACATGTCTTACATCTCCACAGATTTTACAGAGGTATAATACCTCCAAGCAACCTATGTCTTGGACAGAAATCTCTGCACCGTCTTATGCATGGAACTAAGATTTTCTTCTAGCTAGTTTTGAGTGCTCTGCTGCACCGCTTGTCTCAGGTCACAATCAATGTTCTCGATGAGAATGACAACGCCCCGAAGCTAGTGAGGGACACATATGATATCAGTCTACCTGAGAACATCCCCGTCAGCACCACCCTCATCAGCATCGTGGCCTCGGACCCTGACCTAGATGAGAACGGGACGATATCTTTCTCCATGCAGTCTGGAGACTCAGACTGTGGGTTTCTGTCTCTTACTAACACACACACACACACACACACACAAACTCTGCCGGTATTGCTGTAGCTAACCAATTTCTCTTTTTTCTCGTTGTCTCGTCTGATTTACCCTCCCTTCCTCTCCCCCTACCTTACCCAGTGTTCATGCTAGAAGGTTCCCCAGCGGGGTCAGACAGCGATCATCTTGTCACCAAAGTGTCTCTGGATCGCGAGAGGGTCTCAGTCCACATTGTGACTATTCTGGTCAGCGACGCCGGGTCACCACAGAAAAATAGCACTGCTGTAATGACTCTGACCCTGACTGACGTGAATGATAACGTACCAGTCTGGACAGCCGGTCAGGGATCGGAATTTGAGATTTTTGAGGTGCAGTTTTACAGTGTGGGACATGATGGGCAAGATTATATCTTATTATCTCACTAGAATGTGACAAATAGCCTGGTTGTTGATCTGGATGCCACGGATCGTGACGACGGACTCAATCAAGAGTTGGTCTATTTCTTTGTGGGTGGGAGTCAAGATTATGAGTCATTCCACATCGACCGCAACGATGGCACGCTGCACATAGCACGTGACCTGGACTATGAGACAACCCCAGAATACACTGTGAGTTGACGAGAAACTTGTTCTTGTGATTCATCTCTCTCTCGTCTCTCTCTCTCTACCTCCATCTCTATCTCCAGTTGAATATAGTGGTTTCAGATCGGAGAGCGGAAACAGATGACGACGGCGTGACTCCACTCACCAATTCCACTACCATACACATAATTGTCACGGACGTCAACGACAACGAACCTTATTTCAACAGATGTGTACGTGACATAACAGAGCTATTCTGGCAACACCCATACTCCGTCTCTCTCTCTTTTCTATTGCTCTTGTGTGTTGGTGCCTTCAGCCACATGGTTACGAGATTCCGGAGACCTTTAGAGTTGGTGCAGTTGTGGGGAACAATATTAAAGACTCTGTCGAGGACGACGACAGCCTAGCCATCCGGACTCCTTTCTACTACTACATTGACAGCCCTGAAAGTGAGAGAGAGAAGAGAGAATTGTCAAATGCACACAAATGAGTAATGTATGTTTGTTTTTGTCTCAGACGTTGAATGCTTCGGACCATTCTGTATTGATTTGTACACGGGAGAGATCACATTGGAGTCTAATATCGTGAGCTCGTGACTATTCTCTTGTTCCTATATCATACTTATCTCTTTGTCCTAACATCAAGGATTTTGAGACAACGCCTACATACACGTTTTACGTGGTAGTCAGCGACATGCCAAACCTTAGTCCAGAGGTAAATGGTAAAAAAATGTTAAAATTTACTTAGCCATCATTTTTTTTGTTCTCCAGGAAGTATACATTCCCCCAAGAATAGGTATGTGTGCAGGTCTAGGATAAGTGTGATGTAATGATGATGTAATATCTAATTTAGACCTGTGTGACAAGGTTGGAACGGAGAAGAACAACATCACGAGGGTGGACGTGGTGTTGACAGACGTGAATGACCAGGAGCCTGTGTTTGACCCCAACTCTCTGCTAGCTGCTGTGGCTGAGGAGGCAGAGTTCGACACCACCGTCACCGTCCTTAAGGCATGCACCACTCACCCACTCTTCATTCTTCCTCAGTTAGAATGTGGCAGTATACGCATAAGGGCTGGATGTTACTAAAGATGGAGCTAAAAATAGGGCCCAGTGAAATTGGACTTTGGTTGAATGCCAGTATCAAAAGTTTTTTCACCACTTCTCTGCAAAATTGTCCTCCACAGGCTATAGACAAAGATGAAAACGATACATTCAGCACTGTCTACTACGAGATAATTGCAGTGGACCCCCCCTACCTGGTGAACCGAGAGACCGGAGAGGTGACCACAGCGGACACCTTCACAGGCCGCAGTGGCGAGACTGACAAGTTCACAGTGGTAGCCTACGACAACAGGGGGAACGAACCGAGCTTTACCTCCACTGCGATTCTCACTGTAAGTACAAGTGAAAAACATGGGATACTCCCAGGGAGTGATTTGTGGTGCTGCGATATTCCTGCAGGTGCGGGTGTTCAAGGAGTGTGAGCAGATAGTGGCAGTGGCTGATCAGACAAGAGAGGAGGCAGAGAAATGCCGCACGCAGCTGGAGACGTAAGCCAACTATAGCCACCTCAACTAGCTATTTCACCACAGCTCCACTCAGAATAATCAATAAGTTGTGTGCTGTTGTGTTTGTTTTTGCAGAGGCATTTCGAATCAGACAGGCTACATCATCTACATCACCAAGATCCGGGTGCACCAGGACGAGGAACAAAACATCGTGGACACCACAAAGTGAGGGCAAAATTGTAGCTCAGAATGCTGCAAACAGCCTACAACTCTCTGCATTCAGATTGTTACTTTACGCCTGAGATTTCAATGTGTTTTCTGCTGTTTATTTCCCTCATACAGAGCCGACATGATATTCTATGCTCTTCACCTCACCACTGGTGACCTGGTGCCTCCAACAGAAGTTATAGCAATCATTGAGAGGTTAGAGCATACAATACCGACCACACATTCACCAACTCTCTCTCTTCTCTTCTCTCCAATAGAGGTCTGGACTTTGCAGGAAGACCCCATAAAGAGTCTCCAGGACAACTGTCAGATCAGCACCTTCAAGGTAAGAGAGAGGCTCACTAGAGTGCACTGCATCGTGGCTAAAATCCCACCCAGGGTAGCTAGCTCTTTGTGAAAAAGTGTTGGGTGGTGGCCCTTGCCTTTGCCTCATGATCTCATTTCAACAGTACGAACAGAAAATGTGCTGTGACACTCATAGCTCTACATTCAGTTTATACCAGCAACTTCATGAAAACACTGCTCTTACTTCCACCATAACACACACCTCATCTCTTCCATCTGCACAGCAATTCTGTGGCGAGAGTGCCGAGGCCAGTACAACCACTGAGGTGTCAACAGCCATCGGGGTGGCGATGGGCATCCTGGCAGTCATCATCCTCTCTCTCCTCATCTGCCTCGTCTTCGTCTGTGCTCTGGAGAGGAGAAAGTAAGCGAGACTGTGGACGCCACTATCACCTGTTAAATGTAGCAGCTCTTCTGGTCACTATTTGTGACTATTAAAGTGGTCAATTATAAATGATATTTCTCTCTTGTACAGGGCTAGGAAGCTGAGGGTGAGGAAAAAGACACATTTGGGTATGTGATAATTACAGGAGACCCCCCTTTATCAGAAGTAATGTGTGTTTCTCTGACTACAGATCAATCATCAAACTTCTCGCAGTTCTCTCAACTGGGGACCTCCAACCCCATCTGGGTGCCTCCCTATGAGAACTGGGAAGAAGAATCCACAACGTATGTATATCCCATTTCCCCCATTTTGCCTCCCATGTTACTGTTGGCCATGTAAGCCCACTACGCTGTCACTTGACTGCTGCCCCTTTTTCTAGTGCAGCTTGTTGCTGCAAGTTTGTCTCATGTGTTACGTTGCTGTCCTGTTTCCATGGTTACAGGACAGCCAATCAGAGTGCGGTGGACAGGGACAACCCCCTCTACGAGTCTCAGGAGCTGACGATCGAGATGTTCAAAGACGCAGACGAGGACGACATGCTCTCCCTCGCAAGTAGCCGTGGCAACCTCAGCAAAGTCAAGCCTCCTCGTTCCTCCACCCCAGGTCATTAATTTAACTCTCTCACTTATGGAATTTTAACCAATTTCTCCACACCACACAGGGGGGCGTGACTCGGTGTATGACGACTATGACCCTCTGGCAGATGCTCTGGGGATATCAGGGAAACCGGAAGATTCTCAAACTTCTCTCATCTAGTAGAGGCTTTTCGCTCGCTCGCTGCGCACACATACCTGAACCTTCCACTTAGAGTACTATACACGTACACAACACACGCACTGTATAGCTGTGCAATATAATATAGCACGCTGTGTCTTTTGTCTGATATACATGGTGAAGTGATGGAGTCTGATTGATAGACTGGCAAGAATGAAGATGGTTTTGGGGTAATTAGTGTCAGTGTGTTCGTCTGTCTCTCTTGCGAAACACGTACACCAAGTAGAGGCCAATTACTTCCCAGAGTGCAGGGGGCATGGTGGCCTGGGGGGAACGGAGAGAGAGAAAGAGACTAGTTGTGTTAGTTGGTTTTCTTAGCTCACTGTCTGCCGGTTGAAGGCTTGCATCTTGAACATGAGGTTAGCGTTGGGTGGCTCGTGCCGCCGTTCGCTGAAGAAATCTGTGAAATTCTGGCACAGAATCATCTCCATATCAAAATCCTTGAGCATCCTGTAGAACAACCATACGTCAAACCAGAGAGAGACAAATAGAGATAGGCTCATCGAGATAGGGATAGGCTCATCGAGATAGGGATAGGTTCATCGAGATAGGGACAGGTTCATCGAGATAGGGACAGGTTCATCGAGATAGGGACAGGTTCATCGAGATAGGGATAGGCTCATCGAGATAGGGATAGGCTCATCGAGATAGGGATAGGCTCATCGAGATAGGGACAGGTTCATCGAGATAGGGATAGGTTCATCGAGATAGGGATAGGTTCATCGAGATAGGGATAGGTTCATCGAGATAGGGATAGGTTCATCGAGATAGGGATAGGTTCATCGAGATAGAGATAGGCTCATCGAGATAGGGATAGGCTCATCGAGATAGGGATAGGCTCATCGAGATAGAGATAGGCTCATCGAGATAGAGATAGGCTCATCGAGATAGGGATAGGTTCATCGAGATAGGGATAGGTTCATCGAGATAGGGATAGGTCATCGAGATAGGGATAGGTTCATCGAGATAGGGATAGGTTCATCGAGATAGAGATAGGTTCATCGAGATAGGGATAGGTTCATCGAGATAGGGACAGGTTCATCGAGATAGGGATAGGTTCATCGAGATAGGGATAGGTTCATCGAGATAGGGACAGGTTCATCGAGATAGGGACAGGTTCATCGAGATAGGGACAGGTTCATCGAGATAGGGATAGGTTCATCGAGATAGAGACAGGTTCATCGAGATAGGGACAGGTTCATCGAGATAGGGATAGGTTCAGCGAAATCGTGCTAAGTAGTGTTGCTTTTACAAACTCAAACAATAGTACAAGCATTGGGGATGGTTGGTTTGCGATTTCCGTTTACCTACGTGCCGGCAAAAATGCAAAATATGTAGACCATTTTATGAAACTAACTCTTCCAGGAGAGGGAAGTGGACGAGATACTCGGGAAGGTCGACCACTCCATGCAACTTGAAGTTGTACTTTGCTCCAAACAGCGGAAGACTCTCCCTGGGGTCAAGGTCGGGGTCAAGGGTCACGGAGAAAACGTCGTTCCCAATGTACCAACTCCCGTCCTCTCTCCTCTGATCAGCCTCTCTCAGTCTGCGTCTGTTGGCATGGCAACAGACACCACTGATTCAGAGTAAACTGGAACCCTTCTAATCTGAACACCAATGGAACAGAATAAAAAATGTCCACACTAGATATAGTGAGGCGTTCATATTTCAGTGGCTCAGTTGCATGCAAAAATCTGTCAGTGGGGAAGGAAAATGTGTCCTTGTTAGAGGTGTGTCGTCATTTCATGGGTGTCCTTAGAAAAGGGCTCCAGTGTTGACTGACACAATTTCATTGGAATCGACTGTAGTTCCGATGAAGACTCCTCCAGGACGCAAGTTCTCGCAGGCGTTGCGCAACATCATGTGGGCCCTGGGGTACGTCTCGAAGGAATAGTGAACGGAGAACTGGCAACTGACAATGTTGAAACTGCGGCCAGAGTTCTTGTATCTCTCCCTCAGTCTCACCTATGGTGGGTGAGGAGGAGGAGACATGGAGGAGAAGAGGAGAGAGATAGACTCACCGTGCAGCAGTCTGCCATGTGGAACTCCGCCCCAAACGGAGGTTTTCCAGTTCCCCTCACAGACATCCTGGGACTCCAGTAGCGGCCTTGACACGCCTCCACTGAGCTCTCAGATATATCTACAGCAACACACACAACCTCATTGTGTAAGAGAGAGAGAGAGGTTGTTCCCCTACCAGCGCACACGATGTACCCAATGCCTCCTTCTTTCCACTTGAGAAGATCACCTCCTTTCCCACAGCAGAGGTCCATGACCGTGATGTGTGGCTGGATGTACGTGCGAATGAGTACACTCTTCACCCAGTTATTGAAGTTCCTCATGTAGAATATGGGGCTCTGTAGACAGAAGAGAGATGAAGGTAGCTAGGTATCTTGCAAGTGTTTGTGAATGTGCTTGGAGTAAGAATGTTGCATTTGTGGAGTGTTTTTCCACATGAAGGTTTCCCCACTCAAACTCCAGAGAAAACTTGTGGTGAACAAAGGCATTCAGAACCCTATACATTTGCAGAAGGTCTTGTTTCCCATGTCCCCCAGTATTAGAATACCTCATCTCTATTGTCGGCATCCGGCCTGGCGAGCTCGTTGTAAAACTTGGCCACCTGTTCGCTCTGTCCAATCTCACCGGCGGTCTTCTCCCCACTGGTCTTGTCTTCAGTGGAGGAGTCGCTGACCTCTCCCTCTTCCACCTCCTCAGATCGTCTCCCTCTCTTCCTCTCCCTCCACCTCCTCCACCTCCTCAGATCGTCTCCCTCTCTTCCTCTCCTCCCCCTCCACCTCCTCAGATCGTCTCCCTCTCTTCCTCTCCTCCCCCTCCACCTCCTCAGATCGTCTCCCTCTCTTCCTCTCCTCTCCCTCCACCTCCTCAGATCGTCTCCCTCTCTTCCTCTCCTCTCCCTCCACCTCCTCAGATCGACTCTCCCCCTCCTCCACCTCCTCTTTTACTCCCATCTTCCCACCTGGTGAAACACACATGTTTTACAAATTGCAGGAAAAAATAACTTTTCAGTTTCAACCGGTGGGTGCATGGCACACTAAATTCGCAGTATCCATGAAGAATACTTCAGAGCAATTTGCAACATTTGTATGGTAGAACATGTTCAATACAGAGACAGACAGATCCAATTGCTCACTGGAGATATCCACCATTCTGGGATCACTCTGGTTTCTCCCCTCTCTCTCTCGTCTCTTCTCTCCCCCAAACTGAGGCATGGGGTCAGAAAACTGCTCGCTGCTGAAGGCTTCTTCAAACTCTTGATCGAGTCTCCTCTGTTCCTCCTCACCGACCTCACACCCTCCCAGCGGGAGAGAACCCCTCTCGTTAGCAGCTGCTTCCGCCTCAGTCTCTCTGTAGCCTTCATCCTGTGCATCATCTTCAGGTTCCCCAGTAACACTCTCTGAATGATCACTAACTGACGAATCTATAGAGAGACGAAATTTTGTGAGTCATTTTTTGCAACCAAATTTTAAGACTTTGCCCATGAAAATTCAGCTATAATGCGTGTGCACTAGTGTATTTATTTAGCCACCTGTGATTTTTGTCCTAAATTGTGAAGTCCTTGGACATGCATTGTGTGTATATAAGCAGACACTTACGAATGGTTTCAACAAGCTTCTGGAGGACGTGTTGCCTCTTTTCTCTGTCGATGAAGTCGAGGTAGAGGAAGGAGCGCAGTCTGTCAGGCCGAGAGCAGCGCCCCAGAGCTGCCACCACAACCCTGTACCCCCTCCCCCCTCCCTCCTCCCCCTCCCTCCCATCCAGCTCACACGCACGCATCCACTCTCGTTGACACCTACACAGACAGTCGAGAAAAATAATTTGTGGCTAGAAACTGGTTTCCAACATATTTCACAGTCAACAGATGCCTTCACAACAAGCAAAAATGGTGGAAGTAAACGATACTAATTACTTCTTTTCGTTAATTTTGGACGAAAATTAGCCCCCTAGAGCATCTATTGCAACCTTTGCTGTGCACTGTACTGATATAAACTGTGCACTGCAATATAGTATGTATGTATGTACCTCTGGCTGTCGAGATAGGAAGGGCTGAGGCCGACCACCACCACACAGCTCTCAGCCATGGCTCTCTGGATGTGCTTGTCGTTGTACTGACTGCCCTTCTCCATGCAGTGGTAGCAGGCAACCACTTTCATCCCCTGGGCCTCTCTCAAAGAAACCACGATCCCATTCTTGACCACTGCCTGGTCGCCCGTGCTGTGCGACACAAAGACATGGTGCTTCCTGCCCGGAGGGAGATCAATGACGCCAAACTCTTCGTGAGAAGACAGAGTTTTTCTCTCTCCTCCAGCTGTGGATCCGTAGGTGTCCTCCGTCTCGTTCCGGTACTGAGGTACCAGAGTTGGCTGTTGCCTGGAGTCCATTTCACCATCGTTCTCATCGTCTTCTTCCTCGGAGCTGGCGTTGGACTCGAAGGAACTGAGTCCCGTGTTGAGCTGACTCATCACTTCTTGTACCGAAGCCTCGTCTTCAACATCCGTCGATGGACGGCTTGGTTTGGTCTCCAGGGTTCCAGTTTCGTCCCCCACCCCCTCCCCCTCGTCCTTCCATACCGGTCTCGTCTTTCCCTCCCAGTCTGCCACTGGTTGTGGGTCTCTCGAGTCCAGATCCCTGCTCTGCATGGGCTGAGCTATACCGACTGGAAGAATGCGACCTGACGGGTGCATTATACTTCCAGGACTTGAGGCTAAGGGAGGGAGACATTATGACAATGGTGTACTGAGAGATGTGGTGGAACCCCTCTCTAAGAACACTTCTGGGATGAGGACACCTCTCTAATAAGGACACCTTTTCTTTCCCAAAGAACAGTTGATGTGAAATAAGGACACCTCACTTATGTGCTAGGGGTATTCCACTGACTCGACTGTCCGGGATCCTTTATATGGTGGGGGAACATGAAGCTGGCCGAGTCGTCAAGGTCAGAGGTCATTCTGCGTCTCTTGGTTGGGAAGGTTGAGTCATCGGGGTCAGAGTTCACTTGTCTTCGTCTCCCAGTGTAATCGGAGTGATGGTCCTCCGATGAGGAGGGGGAAGAGGAGGAACAAGAGGGGGAAGGAGGTGTGGTTTGATAGAGGCCACCGGCCATGGACGTTGTGTCCGCAGCAGCACTTTCTATAACAGGGTACTTGCCTCCCTCCATCTATAGTGTGGAACATTGGTCTAATTTACGCGCGAAACGCGGCCGCAGGACAGTAAAACGACGCCCAGGGATAGAGAGGGCTCTGTTATCGCTACTGCCTCCATTAGAGCGCATTTCCCGTCCGCTATTACGTTTACAGGTACGAAGTAGGAGTGGGTGAAAGCTTACGGTTTTTTTCCGACCGGGCAATTTCGGACAGCAGCATCACGTGAAGATAGTGTGAGAGTCACGCGACATTATAAAAAAACACGCAAGTTTGAGAGAGTTGCTGGTCGCTTTTCGCTTCACTTTCCGCGGACAAGAAGAGAGTCAGGGAGAAGAAAAGTGAGTAAGTAGGCCACTGCTGCTGCAGAACTTGAAGTACCACGTAGAGTTTCCACTGCATAAGGACGTTAAATTTCCCCCCTATATTCTCCGCCCACTCAGTGGCCTCGAGTCTGTGGGACGTGAAGCTAAGAGACGTGGGCCAGTACATGGCCAGGAACTTCTCCATGAAGTCTCTGACATCAGGCTCCATGAGGCTGGTCCATGCCTACAGAGCCAAGTACATCTCCTGCAAGAACGCCCGGCTCGCTCCGTTCTGGCACGCAGTGGGTGTCTGCATCCTGCTAAACTACATAGTGGACTACAAGCACCTCAAACACGAGCGGATGAGAAAGTATCACTGAACAGATCGAGAGACCCAACATCCACTCTAGACCTAACATATAATAGCCCATGTCAGTGTATAGTAATCACCGGTGTTGTGTAGTTTCATAGTCATGGGAGGTGTCACTGGTATAGCAACTATAGTTCCATCAGTGTAATAATGTCAATTGAGACGGCAATAGATGTGAGTGGGTGTGGCTATGATGTCATGCAGTAGACGAGACGAGACCGGCTGGCCCCTCCCCCAGAGTCTGCCCAGTCGCGGTGGTCTTGAGAGGCTTGAAGCCCAGCTCCTCAGCAGGGACTCCGAAACTGCCCAACTTTGCCTCGTAGGTCCTGATGAGATCGTTGTGAGCCTGCACACAACACAAACCAGAGAGGAGTGAAAATTGTCTTATTGTGTTTGTGCATCGACTTTGTTTTAGAGCTCATGAATAGGTACCGCCTTTTAGAATGGTAGCTGCAACATTACGTCATAATACCTTGCAGACTCTGGCCAGCTCGTACTGAAGATCTCTGATTGCTCCGTTCTTGGAATCCAGCACATCCTCCAGTTTCCTCGTCACTAGCGTCAGAGCAGATGGGTCTAGATTTGCCGCCGATATCACTTCCGTCAACTGAGCCTCCTGTAATATTTAGGATGATATCATGATGATGTAATGGTAAATTATGTCACCTTTTTCTCGAGGGTGTCGGTGAGTGTGGAGAGTTTCTTCTCCAGGAGGAGGTTCTTGAGTCCACTCTTCTGCTGTACCTCGTGGATGGCCTTGGTGAACCTGGTGTACAGCTCATCTCTCTCTTGCTGAACCTGTCATTACAACAGAGGGAAGCAGAGAGGTAGAGAGACAGATGTAGGGAGGGGAGTAAAGAGAGTGATTGCTTACTTGAGCAAATCTCTGCTCGAGAACTTCATGTTCCCATCGCAGGCTCTTCAACTCTGACTCTTGCACCTTTAGCCGAGCTTTGGCATTCTGTGAGAAAGATAAAGGAGTGAGGCTGAAGAGATTATCGACAAACTTACAGCCAGTGAGACTTTGTCCCTCTCGTAGCTGCTGAGTTGTTTGTGTAGCTCTGCCAACTCCTCCCTGGCCTTCTGCAGAGGGTCCTGGAGTCGCCTGTTCTCTGCCTGTGTCTCCGCCAGCTGCTTCTCAAGCTTGTCCTGGTCCTTCTTCATCTTCTCCAGTTGCTCCTGTCATTAATCGCGGGGTCTTACCCATCATTGCCCAGAGTATGTATGTACCTACCTTGAGGGAGTTGATGAGGGCAAGGTTGTTGAGGGTGATGTCATTGTAGTAGTTTTTGATGTCACTGAAAGCTTTCTCGTGGTTCTTCATCAATGTGTTGATCTGACCATTCTTCCTCTGCGGACCAGACCACACATATTTTCAATACGGAGAGGGGGGAGAGAGGCTTACTTCTTCAACTTCATGGATCTCAGCCTTTCTCCTCAGCTCCAGCTCATCTCTCTGTGCCACCATCTTCTTCTCATGCTTTGCCTGAAGCTCTGCATACCACAATACAGTATAGAGCTGCATGTGACTGAATACTGCCTGTGTATGTACGTACCTGTGGCCATCTGTTCAAATTCCTCTCTCATGGCGGTCACCGCCTTGTCGTGTTCCTAAAACCAGACTTCACTGTCAACCACACCACACTCTCAACACTACAGTAGTTACAGACCATCTTGAGGGCCTTGGTGGCATCCTGATGAGCCAGCTCCATCTCCTTCAGCTCCACCTTCAAAGTCCTCTTCTCTTGTCGGACGTCTCCCTCGTGTTGTCTGTGCTGTTCCTCCTCCAGTGTCATTGCCACAGCACCTACAATACCACACCACACGTAAACGCACACATACAGCGAGATTTGTGATCTGACTGACCATCTCTCTTGAGCTCTGTGATGTTGTTCTGGTGTTCGTAGAGCAGGTGCTTCACTTTCTGTTTGTACACCTGCACTCACAGTGTGTGTGTGTGTGTGTGTGTAGTTCAATCAGGTCTGCTAATGATAGGGGTCTCCCCCACTCACCCACCTTGATCTCGACTTGGTGCCTCTCTTCAGCGTCCTCCAGCTCTCTCTCCTTGTTCCTCATGGTGGCATTTGCCTCCTCCAGCTGCCGCTGAGATATCTCCCAGAAAGAGTTGACCTTGTCTCTCTCCAGTTGGAAGAAGTTTCTCTCTGCTCTCTCCTTGTCCACCTCGTCCCTCAGTCGCACCACATGCTCCTGCAGCTGTGTGGAGAGAGTTAAACATTGTCTCAATGATAAGGAGAATCACAGGGAAAAGGGGAAAAAGAATGAAGATTGTTGACTGTATGACGTGAGGATCTGATGCATGCCATGTGATACCATTCTTGCCCTCATGGGAATGAGCTCTGGAAATCACAAATTGAAACTGTTTCGTCAGTTGTTGAATGAACTTGAGCAAACAATGTTGAGTCCCACGTGCACCGAGTGCAGGTGGATCAAAAACACAAGAATATTACACCTGCTCTGTGGTCATGTCGTCTGTGGAGACTCCATCAATGACCGCCGAAGCTGCCTTGGCTGCCTTCCCCTTCCCCTTCCCCTTTCCCTTCCCTTTCTTTGGCTGCAGAGACAGCACACTACATACACTACTCTCTCCCTCTCCAGGGGATATCTTACCATGTTCTGTCAGGAGAGTGTGTCGCCTTTTCTCGTGCACGTTGCTCGATTCCCTGCACACTGCCCAGGGGTTTGTATATCGTCGCCTGTCGCCATGGTTATATATTCAAGTGACGTCATATTTCGGGCGTAATTAGTAACGAAGGGGATTACCCTCACGTCTCCGGGCATTCCCTTTCTTTCCTTCTCTCCGCGGTCCTTGTCGTCGCGATGGCACAGGCAGGCGACCCAGAATGGAACGAAGAAGAAGCGCAAAAGAGAGACGTAAGAGCTATTACTACTCAAGCAGTTCGAGAGAAGAGGAGGGAGATCATCAGGCAAATCAGAAAGATCCAGCCACAGGCGGGGAAGAACCTGAAGGACGTGGAGGTCCCCCAGTCCCTCTTTCAGCTGGCGAGGGACATCGTCCGCGACCCAGAAGCAAGTCTCAGGTTCAACAAAGTGGCCGTGTACGAGCTACTGCTGGGGGACCTCAACAGACGGAGACGAGAATCGGCCAACTCTGGCGGCGTGACGCTAGACAAGGCCGTGCCTGTGTTGGATGGATGGAAGCTGGCGAGCATCTCTCTCTTCCGTTACGCTCTCAACCTCGTCCTGGCTCCTAACAGAGCCGAGTTCAAGAAGATGAAAGTGAGTAAATCCCTTCCCAAATTGCGCAATTGTGTTTGATACTGAATTATTATGCAGTTGTCGACTTCCTTCTACGTGTACAACATCTCCCGTCACCTCCACCACGCAGAGGAGGCGTTCAAAGCCATGGGCTACAGGGCGACTGATAAGAAGGAGAAGAAAGAGACCCAGGATCTGGTCTACGATGGAGATGTGAAACTTCCACCGGTCCTGGAGACTGCCACCGACCTGCTTGTGATGCATGAGGAGGTCGTTCACCTCCAGGAGGCTGTAGCAATGCTGCTAAACTGTGGGAGAAGGGAGGTTCCACTTGAGAACGTTGTCGGAAAAAGACGTCTAGAGTTTGTTAGAGCTCAGCAGGGAAGTGGGATTGCCCCATCTGGCTCTCCTAATCTCCACCCAACTCCAGCACATTTATGCCAACCTTCTTCCCCATACTGTAGTAACCCTCCACTGCCTACACGTGTCCCCCCTCCTAAACTTGTCAGTGGTGGTGTTGGTCAAAATGCACCAGTCAGCACTGGACCAGCCTTCCCAAGCAACGTGGTGCACGGCCATGAATGGATGCACCAGCAGGCAGGACAGAAGAGGACTGACCATGACTATGCAAATATGAGTAGAATGGATGGAAATATCGTGGTGACAGATGCAGCTGCTAGCTCAAACAATCCACCGGCTAAAGGATACATTAACTTCCAAGTAGGTGAGGTAGGGAGCCGTGCTCCTCAAATGGTGCCAACTTTCAGGCCACAAGTACCAGCAACTACGTCACGTCCGATGGAAGGTGCTCAGGAAGGCATCTACTATCAAAATCAGCAGCAGTCACCTCATAATCCAGGCTACCCACACCATACTATGAACACAACGTACAGTCATCAGTACCAAAATCAGACCCCCCAGTTTTCCTCAGCAGCGATGGTCCATGGAGGGGCACAGTCCACTGCTGCAGAGGTGGCACTACAGCCCTATGACAATATTCCTGGTCCCCCGCAGAACCAGCAACGACTGCAGCGTCAGCGCTCCCACTATGACACCCCGGCCCCTCCCTTTTGTGGCGAACGCCGTCGAGCTTCTCAACCAACCACATACCAGAACTACCCTCCCACCACTACCACTTACCAGTGTTCCTTCTCCTCCAGCTCCTCCTCAATTTCCAGCTGCTCACCAACCTCACCCTGCTCTGGACCAAACCAGCGGTCCTCCCAGTCCAACAGCAAGACCTGTTCCAAAACCTCGCAGCAACGTTCCATCCAAACTGACTGCTCAAGAAGATGTGGAGAACACAAATGTCCACCGACTCAGTATTGAGGCACGTCAACAGTCACCTGGCGGTCCGGACTCCATGATTGCCAACCTACCTCCACCTATCACTGACTTCACCACTCCCATCAAGGAAGAAACGTCCTATGATTCGGGGATGCCTGGTTTTATGTCAGACCTCAACAGCCCTGGAGGTGGGGGAAGCCTTGTCTCCATTAGTCTCCGGGAGAGTGGGCCTGAAGGTCTCAGAGACTCTGAAATCGCCCTAGAAGCCAGTAGTAGTAGTGTTGGGGAGTCACCAGGCGCCTCGTCCAACCCTCCATTTACCATGAGTCACACAACCAGCACCTCGTCTGAGAGCAGCATGGACCTCTATGGCAGTGGTCCTGCTCTTCCCAACCTCATTTGGCAGCAATCCTCCGCACAGCAGATGAAGAGAGAGCAATCTTTCCCTCCTCTTCCAGAGGAGAGGGAGGACTATGACGAAGATGGCGGCTTGCAGATGACCGCAGGCACCTGCACCTCACCTGCTAGTACCCCTACCTTTACGACACAGGGGAGTCTAGACGCAGCCCCTCGTCAACTACCACCTGAGCAGGAAACGTCTCTTAGAAAGAGCTTCGCAAAGTCTCAATCCACGGAGATTGTGGAGGGTGATTACAGGGGTCAACAGTCGTTAAGGGGTGTCAAGTCGGGCCCAAACCTTCAGGCAATGGCAAGCGAGTCTGAACAAACCAGGAACCTTGACAAACCGCAGCCTGCCCCCCGCAGGTCTGGCTCTCGGTCTCCGCCTGGGAGTGGCGGGGCTTCTCCTACGGCCAGTCCAAAGTTGTCACCTCGCAACCGATCCACTCACGAACAGTGGACGCCGACAGCTCAGAGCCGCCCATTTCCGCCTCCCACAAATGGCCTCTCAAAGGCTGCGACGTTGCCACGCCAGGCCAAGTCAGTTGAGGTGGAGCCACGCACCAATCGAGATCTAGTGAAGGATAGACCAACTGATAAACCGCTTCCCTTCAAGCCTTTGCCTGGAAAGCAGATGGAACCTGAGACACCTGTTCTTGGATATATCCCCTGAGCATCTGCTGAAGCTCAGGCAACAGCAGAAAACACATGGACCTGAGCTGTCTTCTCAACAGCCAGTTCAACAGTCCCACGCCCATCCTAACAGTTGTGAACATTCAGTCGAGAAAGAGGACTTGAGAGAGCAGCTTCAGAAGGAGCAGGAGGAGCGACGCGAGAAAGAGCAGCGACTGCAGCAGGAATTGCTGCAAAAAGAGAGGCAGCGACAAGCGGCAGAACGACTACTCCAGGAGAAACTTCAAAAGGAGCAGGAGGAGCGAAAGGAGACTGAACGGGTCCAGCAGGAATTGCTGCAAAAGGAGCAGCAGCAGCGAATGAAACTCGAGCGACTCCAGAAACTGGAGCAGCAGCAACGAATGGAGACTGAGCGACGATTTCAACAGGAGAAGCAGGAAAAGGAAGAGGCCCAAAAGCAACTCAGAAACCTCCAACTGCAGCTCGAGCAGCAAAAGAAGAAAGAGAGCAAACCACATTTCCAGCAAAAGTCAGTTGCTGTCGTCTCACCAAACAATACTGAGGCGACGCCCTCACTCTCTAAACCAGACGAGAGTGGTGGGACAAGGGAGGAGATGGGGCCCATGCTCTTAGGGCCCAGCAGGGGAAACTTCGAGAGAGAGCCAATGCTGATGCCAGTCAACTCAGATATAGTAAACGACCGTCTGCTAACAAGCAGGCAGCTGAACACGAAACAACCTTCACTGAAGTACCAACAACTGGAGACATTCTTGACGGTACACAAAAGGTTCCTGATATGGCGACACACATCGACCTGGAAAACACCTGGGTCTGTGACTACTGCACTAATCTCAACCAAGACGGCCTCCCCAAATGTGAAGTGTGTGAAAGACCTGACCCTCGAATTTCATGGCTCTGCCTCACCTGCAAGAATATCAACCCAAATTCACTTCACCGGTGCAAGACATGCAATGCTCTGAAAGAAACACCTCTTTAGATATTATAGTCCTTAACCCTTTGTAACTGACTCTATTTAGTGCCCCCTCGTGTTTTGGCTGTTTCAGATCAGTAACTTCTGTTCATAAATACATGACATTTACACGATAATAATGCTATAGCAATAATTATGATGCAATCAGAAATAATAGAGTTTGCGATTGTTGTGCCATACCAAGAAAAACGCCCACTGAGGTGTGCATACAACAATTATAATAATATGTACAATAAAACAAAAGCTCTTGAACATAACGAGGTAAATTCCAATGCATGTATTTGGTAAATGGCCGCTATTGCTTTACTCTATGGCTTCAGAAAACGAGCTACAACTTACGGCGTTTTTACACAAAGTTTCTCGGCAACAAAAATAACGAACAACAGTGATCAAAATTACAATTACTCTGTAAACTATGGGGTCGTACTCTCTCTATAACGTGACGCAGCAGCAATCTCCACTGTCGCTAGGCTTTCTCCGGTTTATCTGCCGCACAATCTCCTGAAACAATTCCTGGACGTTGTACCGAGTTTTGGCCGAGGTCTCGAAAAATGGAGTCCCCCAGTCGTGCGCCAGGCTCTCCCCGTCTCGTGTTACCACGTTTCTCTCTGATGCCATGTCGCACTTGTTGCCTACCAGGACGATGGGTGAGTTGAATCCGCCCTTGACTCTCGCAATCTGGTCTCTCAGTGGCTGTACGTCAATGAAGGTCTGTGCGTTGATGATGGAGTAGACTAGGAGAAATCCCTGTCCGTTCTTGATGTAGAGGTCTCTCATGGACGCAAACTGCTCCGTGCCCGCCGTGTCCAGGATCTCTAGCACTGCCGGTGAGCCGTCCACGTCGATTTCTTTCCGGTAGAAATCCTCGATTGTTGGGTCGTACTTTTCCACAAAATGCCCCGAAACAAACTGGACTGTCAGCGCACTCTTTCCCACGCCCCCCGACCCCAGCACCACAACCTTGTATTCCTTCATGACGACTCGCCCCCCGCGGCTTCTACTCTAAATGGTGCACACCTGTGTACTTTGATCCCACGAGACTCGGCGATGAGTGCAGCAGAAGAAATTTCACAGTTCCTGGAGTAACACAACACCATTCGGTGATGACAACAAACACAGGAACATGTGGCCATTATGCACGAAACACAAATGTACATAATAATATGCATACATACATACACATGCATAGCTACACTAAAACAGGTCTCTCTCGGTATGTAAAACTTTACTACACACGTGGCAAAGGCTACCAACAGCGGAGAGACGGAGGCCAAAGACAGAATATAGAGCATCTTAGTTCGAGCTATGTTGTGTGTGTACGTATGTTGGAGGTATTGTTGGAATGGCTGCAGTAGGGGCACAGGCATGTGTGCTCTGCAGCTACATGTCGCTAAACTCACAGCGAGAACACAGGCACACAATGATCGCAGTATATACTCCCACATGCATGCACCATGCAATGCAGGGCTGGAGTCTGCTCTTTGCAGAAGCCTCTACAGCACAGCCCATGACAACGCCAGTGCTGACCACACACACAGACTCTGAGATCATTTCCCTCTATACCAATATTCACACACCTACTCTTCCCAGCTACCTAGCAATGTATGTGTGTGTATGTAGCTAGTGTAGCCAAAGGCTAACTACGTATATCCACTGCTAGGGCTCAGACCAATACACACTCCTCCCGACATTGTCAGGCGCATTGATGCTTCACACACACAGCACATGCCATCACAGATATGCCATAATGTAGCATGTACAGATGAAGACTAGATTTACACGCCGCTCAAGCATTTGTGCCTGATGCCGTCCACAGGCAGAGTTGATGTAAACCATCCGTCAGCTCTACCCTCTCTCCTACTGTTCTTCTCCACACCGTCGCCAGCGCCCAATGGGCCTGCCAAACACTCCGCACCTTCTTATGGCTATGACGGACTCACAGGCGGTGATCGGGGCCCAATACTCGTCTCGTGAAACTCTCGACAGCTCCTCCTCTATGTATAAACAGTGTAGGAACACAAACAGCGGCGCTCAGGCGGTTCTCCGGTTGACTTCCTCCATCTTCTTGCTACGAGGCGGCTTGGCGAGTACAGTATTCCTAATACGACTAAAAATAGACCGAGCGAGTGCCTATTTTTAGATCACGCTCGCGTATGGGTGTGGCAAAACTCCGTAAACCGCCACACATATCCGTAAATCAACCGTATACGCGACCATCATTATTCACAGAAATAATTTTCTCGCATGACATCATTATGCATGAAACAGTCCCACAGCAGATCTCAGGGAGCGTTGCTGTTGGGTCCACGCTTCTTCCCAAACGTGGCCACCACGTTTACAAACCGGCGGTTGTACTGCATGCGCCTCTTTGCTCGACCTGTCTTCTTTTTCTTTTTCTCTTGTGGATCAACCTACGAGAACGTACACACACAGGAATTGTAACGTGTCAGGCAAACATCGTAGGAGAAAGGGATTACCTTTGGTGTTTGTCCTCTGACCTTCCCAGCACGTGCCAGAGAGCCGTGGACCTTACCTAGAAACGTGGCCAAGGTGAACACAATCTCAACTCCACCCTGCAATTACCCTAGTTCAAACTAACCGCCAACAACTCTGGCGCTCAGACTCAGCGTCCCCTGCTCCGGGACGGCCTCCAGTAGAAGACACTCGTCTTCAAGAGGGACGCCAGCATACGTCACCACTTGATCCCCGATAGAGACGCCCTCCGCAGCGGCCAGAACTCCCTTCACCGCCGCCACTGTGGTCTCCAGGGACACCTCCAGCGTGTGGAGGGTCAGTCCTTGCACGAAGATCTGCGGCATGGCTCTCTCTCCTCGTGTTCCGCGAGCTTCTCTCTATTTATGGCCCACCGGATTGGCGCGTTGCAACACAAACGTGCAATTTGTCTCTACTGCGCATGCCTAAAGTGCGCTCTAAATAAAATCCTCGACTCATGGCTGTAAGGCGTTTTTCTATGCAGTAAGGCTCTGTATTGACTGTCGTGCTCTACTAACAGCCTAAGGTGAAGGAGAGGACACGTGGGAAGAAGGAGATCCACAGAGACAACCTCGAAACGTTGTCGTTCTACCTACTATTCTCCCTAGTCGGAACTGTACGAACTCCTTCGCTCTTCTCTAGCTAACAGAGTACGAGTGAGACTCTCTCTTTCCCTCCTGCAGGCAGTTCAGGCACTTCACTTGCTCTACTTCCAATTTGTGGATGGCACCACTACATGGTGGGATGGTGTGAGTCAACCACAACCCATGGTGTATGCATGCAGCTTCCTGTCCATTTGTACGTGCACAGTTCTTTGCGTTGTTTGGACCAGCTGTCCATGGACTGTGTCGGTGGGTGTTGGTTCAACTAGCCCGGCCTCATCTCGGACCCAGTGGAGAGCTCCTTGAGGCTGGAGCTGACCTCTCTGACAACTACATCTCAGAGTATGTAGACTTATATATAATTATCTCAGTATGATATAATACAAACTCCATCTATCGTAGATGTTTGCTATCCCATATCAGAGTATGATGCATCCAGTGACATTTGTTCTCTGTTGGGTTTTCAGGTATGTGATTGACTTTGTTATCCTGACTGCCTTCTTGCAAGGCCTGTCTTTTCTCTCCAACCTGGTCTGGCTCCTCTGGCTTCTGGTGAGCTCTCTCTCTCTCTCTCTCTCTCTCTGCCAGCCAGTAATGCTTGGAAAATGCTCGAGTAAAGATTTCATTTCTCCGTTGTCTCCCAAGGTTCCAGGTCTGGTTGTCTACAAGGTGTGGAGGTTGCTAATCTGGCCGTGGGTATCACGGGGTTCACCAACTGCAGTCGACAAAGATGGCAGCGGCAGTGGCGGCAAGAGGCAGAAGAACAAAGTCAAGTACATGAGAAGATGATGTCATCATATCCACCAATCAATCTTCCAATTCAATGAACACATGTCTATATATAGGTAGAATTGAAACACTGTTTTGTAAAACGCAATTATCGCAAGTTGTTCCTCTCTTCACTCCCGTACGGGATCATGTGAGGTCACATGACCTGCTAGCTAGAGGAGGGCAGAGTTCAGAGACGAGATGAGGTCTGGGGAGAGGTGGGGGAGGGCTGCTTGCAGCCGGTCCACGTGATGAGCATTCAGCACTTTCAGTAGCTGTACCAACGCAGTCTTAACCTCTGAGGAGACGCAGAAATATGGGGGATAAAACATCGTGCCCCTCAATTATTACCTTGCGAGAGGTGAGGTGAGGGTAGGTCTTGTGCAATCACTCGCAGTGCAGCAGGTAAATTATTCATCATCTGTATAGCAACAGACAGAGAGAAGAGAGAGAGAGAGAGTTCGAGGAAGAATATGGCAGGCTCACCACCACAAGATTATCACTATCAGGAGAGAAGAGCTTCAGGAAACATGTGTAGACTGTCCCCACCTCCTCCATGTCCTCTTTCAGTGGCAGGTTCTCCAGGAGGACTGGCACAACCTTGAGAAATATTGTGGAACAGGGGTAGTAGAGGAGGGAGAGAGACAAGAGGAGAGAGAGAGCGGAGTTGTTACCTGGTCCAGAGGAACTCCCTCTTGGTGGGCCAGTATCATCCTACAAATGGCGCCACAGATGTTGTCGAGGATTCTAGCGTTTCTCCTGGTTTGAGCAGTGACGAACAGAGTCCCCAGAACTTCACGGTAATGACTAGAGGATGGGATACCAGAGGTCTACAGAAGACAAGCAACGCAGCTCTGACCTCTGGCTGTCTGGAACTCCGTTTGCCATTAGGAGGCCCATGCCGTAGATTGCATTACTGCAGACTTCATCGTCTTCGTCTGACATTGTCTTCAGGAACAGAGGGTACAGCTCCAGTAGCTTACAGGTGTGGCCACCCAGCCCATCCAGCAGCTGTAGTGGCAGAGTCAGAGTCATGTGATAGTCACGTGACTTACTAATGCAGTCACGTGCTTACTTCCGCAATGGTACCAATGGCAAAAGACCTGTCGGTACTGAAGATTTTGGCGCCTGAAAAAGGTTCAAAGCAGAGAGAAAATTATGTTTGTCTACAAAAAGTTTTCTCTCTTACTGACCAGTCTATCAATGAGTGGAGAGAGGAGCTGAGGGAGGGAGGGAAGCACGGCCTCACCTCCTGCCACCACTGCAAACGGACCAACCACGGAGCCTGCACACTCTAACACCACACTGTCATACTCCGACTGTACAGGGGAGAGATCGATATTTTGGATGACCCGTTTGAGGATGTGCTCGCCCCATTATAAGAATGGACAGACCATATCTCCCGTCCCGGAATCCTCCGCCTCAACTCCACAACACTGTGCCTGTATTGTGACATCATTTTTCTATTTTTAGCACAAATCTGGGACGACATCACCTTGTTATGTAGGATGTCTTGTAGTGACACAAGAACACTGCTACATGCCTGAGGTGCCAGCTTGAACTCTGTACCCTAATACAACCAGAGTAGGGAGGAAAGGAAGTTGATATATTATATAGAGAGAGAAAATAAAAGTAGTGGTGTTGAATTGAGGCAAACCTTGAGAGATTTGAAGATGTTTTCGAGAGACTCGAGACTGGCTCCCACGACGTTTCTGTCGCTGTCGGTCCTGGCAGTGGCAGCCAGACTCAGCACTGTGCTGTTGGTCAGGAACTGCAGCTCTTCTGCATGCAGCGGGGAGAGAAAGTTACAGCAAACACTGGTAATATTACACCTGTGTAAGAGTGCACCAAGTGTGGTGCTCTGACCCTTTCATCTTTTCCCCTATCTCACTCAGAATTTTCGTCTTTTCCCCCTACATATCTCCCTCGAAAAATATTCTGCCTTCTAGAAGACATACCGAGATCGGTGCTGCCTGCCTCTCTCAGCCACCGGTACCACAGTCTGCAGAACGTGGCCACCGCACAGATGGCTGCCTTTCTGATACCCTCATGAGAATGCTGCAACACACACACACCACAACACTTATAGATCCTCAATTCCAAATGCTGCTCACCTCAGTCAAAGAGTTAGCTTCTCTAAAGCAGTCGTCGATGTACCTGACAAACCCTGGTCTGAACAATGGTATGGATACAAACTGTTTCGTTCCCTTGCGTACATTTCACTCACCCCACATTTCCAGCAATTTCTGCTAGTGCATTGAGGCCATCTTCTTTCTCTTCCAGATATGCATTCTCAACTGTGTACCTGTAAGGATTCACCTCACTAGTACAGCATTAGCCGGAAGCCACACCCACCCCTCAATGGCTCTGCTGTCGTCCAACATACTGGAGCTGGCCTCTCCCCTCTCACCCCCCTCCCCCTCCTCCTCCTCTTCTTCTTCTTCGTCAAAATCGAGAAATGGCACTTCGGAGGAGGCATAATGCACCTGCAAATGAACCGAGAGAGAGAAGAGGTGGATAACAAGGGAAGTTGGAGAGGAAGGATAAGCCGGGAGAGTCCTATCTCTACTCACAGTAACTCCTTCCTCTGACACAAGAGCCTGAAATATTCTTCCCACAACGGGTTCCAGCTGTCCACACATCTCTTCCTTGATAACACACGATACAGATGCCAGCATTCCGTAGCTACAGGGTTAAACAAACTGTGGGCTAAGAGTTAAAGTACTCAGACACCTAAACACACACTACGTCACGGATGTTCGAGTTGGGTACACGGGAAATCATGTGATGGTGGGGACAGGTTTGACAAATGTGGGACTAACTTACACTGATCTTCTGAGATCAGGATCTTCGCCCTGTAACAGTGCCTGTGGACAAACAGACACACAGACAGACAGACAGACAAGAGCAGGAGGTATGTGGGATTGAAGAAAGAGGGGGTGTGAACCAATGGCAGACTCACCACACCCAGAGTGACACACTCTGCAGCCAGTGGTCTGAAGTTATCCTCACTAACTGTTCTAGCCAGTGTCCCCAGAGTATCTGGAGTAGAGGAAGAAATGAAACTACAGCACCATACCAAAGTCAACAACCAGCTTGGACATGTGAATTTAGGCCTTGCAGTACTGACCAATGGCCTGGGCCTGTAGAATGAGAGTGTCCTGATGGTGAGGCAACATTATGTATTGCTGGAGGGGAGATGAAACAAACAGTGGGTCACAGTTGTGGTTTTCACGTCTTGGATCGTGAATACCTTTAGTAGATTGATTGTTCGGTCGAAGTAGGGCAAGAATTCAGACTCACACGCATTGGCTGGAGACGACAGACATGAACAAGTCACACTGAACTACTAGTTCTGTCTTTATCTCTTTACCTGCTGCACCTATGGCACTGATGGCCAGCTCCTTCACATGGATACAGTTCTGGAGAGAGAAAAAAAGATGGGGTAGTCGTAAATTTTTGATGGAGGGCACAAAAGTTTTCCACAGATTGGCAAATAAATATAAAAAAAACATTTTTAAAGAAAAAAAGACCCCGTCACATGATATGTTACATACGTACGTGGACATCGGGGGAAGAGAGGGCTACAAACAACTTCTCCATGAGGACCGGCAAGTAGGGTACCAACTTGGGCCCTGCCACAGCAGAGAGAGAGAGAGAGAGAGAGAGAGAGATCAGCATCTTGAGGCAGACTAGAACACCTCACACACCTAACTGCTCGCAGAAGGTCTCCAGGGCGTAGAATATCTTAGTTAGTGCAGAGGCCTCTTGGAGAGGGGACTGGAGTGCGTGGTCAACGAACTGGAATAGAACGGGCAGCAGCTCCCCACTGTACTCTGCTATCTGAGGCTGGAGGGAGGAAGAGAGAGGAGAGAGAGGAGAGAGAGAGAGGAGAGGGAGAGAGGAGGAGTTAATTCTTAGTTGGGAATGGGGGTATGGGTTTACCTGGAGGTGTTCCGAGAACTGCCCAATTGCAAAGAGAGACGCATTTCTGACAACCTTTTCCTCATCTCGCACTCCTAGTGGCAGATAAAGTAAAGAAGAGAGAGACAAAATGAAAAGGTTCCTGCCTTTGTAGACTATCTGTAGCAGTGCTGGAAGATGACTGAAGAGAGAGAATAAAGATAACATTACAAATGTCGACAGATGCCGGCAGACTGACTGGTTCTTGATGTGCACCGAGCAACCTTCCACCATCACTGCTATGGCGATGAGAGAGGCCGCCCTCTGGAAATGGTTGGTGCTCTCCAGCCACGGCTCCACACACTCCAACTGGGCCACACACAAAAATTTGGACATGCAAAAAAATTTTCTCCTTCAAAAGTTTTTTTTTTAAGAACAAAAACTAACCACAGGAGAGAGTATCTTTTCAGGAGGAAGATGGAGAGACAGGATGTCCAACACCTGTTAGGTCACCATGGTAACGGCAATACAGATGACATCATTGTCGTCACGGTACCAACCTGAGCGGCGAGGGAGATGGGAGACTGAGTCTCGGTGGTTGCGTCGCCCTCGTCCTCGGCTCCGCCCGGGTGTGGCGTGGCCATGATAGTGAGCATGGTGCGAATGACTGATGGAAGAAGACCTTGTTTCAGTAGACTCTGCAGACAAAACGAGTTTTTCTTTTCTTTCGTGTGGTTTTCAAAATAACAAAATCCACTCACAAACCTTCTTCTTGAGAGAAGCCAGCCACTGAAGAAATGAGAGGGCCTTGACGCGGAGATTGTCTCCTAGCGACGAGTTGCTGGCCACTTGCAGACTGAACTGGATGAGGTCGGGGAGGTGTGGCGTTACCATGCCAACCTCGCACTCCACAATCTCGTCAAAGAGTTCCATCCCCTCGCAAGCCTTGTCCTGTATGTATAAATGGAGGAAGAGGGATCAAGAAGAGAGGGGAGAAATCAGCAATAAGCAAAAAGCAGGATAATTTGAGAATCTTTTGATGTTGAACAAGAGACAATAGGTTTACCGGATGATTTCATAGGTGTATCGTTACCTCGTCTTCTGAAATGAGAGCACGCACAACAGCCATGATCTTTGGTACTAGCGGAGTGAAGTGAGGCTAATGGGAGGAGGAGGAGGAGGGGGTGGTGTGATATGGAGCAGCAGTGAGTGTCAGACTAACCGAGTCCTCTTCTGCCACATACTCCACCATTGAGGTCAGACACCTTCACACACAGAGGGAGCCGGGGTTACATAGACAATAGAAGGATAAGAGACGGGGGCAGCGGTGGTAGCGTACTTGAGTGCATAGAATGGGACAGTCTTGCTCTGCGGGTCTTCAAGAGCAGACGACAGCAGTTGAAACAGGCTCTGGAAATGCTGTTTGAACTACACACAGAGAAAGACAGAACACTCTCAAAGGAACTTACTGCAACAGTGTAAACAACATTGCAACTTTTGCTCCTAAGCAACACAAGCTGTTTATCAACACCCAAACAATTCAAACACAGACTTACGTCCAGAGCAGCCGTTTCCATGACAGAGCTGAGGAGGAGGACCCCGACCTGTGCAGATATCTCAACCGGGGGGCAACAGTTGTGGTTTTGTTCTTGCATACCTCTCTCTGTTGAGGGTCTTGACTGTGGCAGAATTGGAATATGAACGTTGACAGCTCCTCCCACTGACCTCGTGGCAGTTCGTACTTGGCTAGCACACTAGCCTACAGAGGAGAGAGAGAGAGACGTGAGAGAGAGAGAGGAGAGAGAAATGGGAAGAAGATATAGAGAGAGAGGGAGATTTGACAAGGTAAGGGATGCTTGGCTAACCAGGTGAGCCACTGATATGAACACAATCCGTCTGAAGCGGAGAAAGATTACATCATAATGACATCATTCACACAAGCATGATAATCTTACACGGTCTCCTGGGTTAGACACTGGAGCAGCATAGACTTGATTCTGGACACCCGACATAAAATGTACAAGTGAACACGTGTTTTAATGTAGGGGTAACATGCAATTTTACGTAGCCTTTGTTGTCGCTGGCGTCTTACAACACACGTTGTTCGGTCATTTCCAGGCAGCTTCTTCCACAGTTTGACTAGCCTCTTTCTCAACAGCACAGCTGCAAACTGTCGAATCTGTTGGCAGAGAGACACCGCCCAAAAACATGATCAAGAGTGGGTGTGCCAAGACAGTTAGATACAGAGCCTGGGTGTGCAGGGAGAGAGGGAGAGCTAGCCTGGGGGTTGGGGGACGAGTGTAGGAGGGTGCAGAGGCCCGGAATAACGTCTGGGTTCCTGTACACGGCCTGGAGATCACGCGTGGCCTGCAGAGAGAGCCAAAAACGGTGGGAGCGGTGGACTGTGAGGTTGCAGCTGCTCACCTGCTGAATTACGGCGTTATCTGGGACCAGGAGACGCTCCAGGATCGTCTGAATGGCCGCCATCCTCTCTCTCCCTCTTTCTCCTCTCCAGCTGGAGCACTCAAATACGGAATCCACGTGTTGTTGACGTGGATTACGGAAGTTTACGGTAGGGGCGGAGCTCAACGCTGATGCGCATCAATTGGAATAAAGTGGTTGTAGCGATATGGGGTCTGGAAAGAAGCGAGAGAGGGACAGCACTGGAGGATCATCAGGTGCCAAGGAGGAGGGCGAGACACAGTCCTTAAAGAAGGCAAAGATTGAAGACAGCACTAGCGCCTCTGTCCCCCAGGTCTCGTGTAACCCATGTCCGTTGCTAGTGGAGGAGGAGTGGGTGAGACAGCAGAGGGAGACGAGGGAAAAGATGCAGCTGCTGGTGTCTGCCTTCTCCAATTCCCAACAGGACCAGTACGAAGTGTTCCGTCGATCCTCGTTCCCTAAGAGCAGCGTCAAGAGAATCATGCAGGTTTGAGGTCCCCACTCCCTATACTCGGAAGTTCCAGTGTATTGTGATGTACCCCCTGACCTCTTCCTTCTCGCTCACACAGAGTGTATGTGGAACCCCAGTGCCACAGAATGCGGTCATAGCAATGGCCGGAATAGCCAAGGTCTACGTAGGCGAGGTCGTGGAGGCAGCTCTGCGGGCGAAACAAGACCTCAGAGAGGAAGGCCCTCTCCAGCCAAAACACGTCCGAGAGGCTGTGAGGAAACTAAAGAAGACAAGCAAAATTCCAAACTCTCTCTACGTAAAGACCTGCCCATTGCGATGACATCATACATCCACCACAATTACATCATTTCACCATCACAGTTTATTGGAAAATTTTTTTTCCTATCTCATGACAAGTCTAGTATTCTTGAAAAAATTAAGTCGTAATTTCGGAGTATCCAGAGCCAGTGGTTTGTATACTTGGAGTATAGTATCCCAAGTCGGGGTGGTGGCGGTAGTGCACATCAGGCCAGTGGGTTCTTGCTGAGCAGTGCAATGTCTGCAGCCACCATTTCCTTCACCAGCTCCTGCACACACAACACACACACAACACACATGGACATGTTGCAATGTGTGTGTTGTAGAGAAAAGTCATCGTGCGCTCACCTTGAACGTGATCTTAGGCTCCCAACCCAGCTCTCTCTTTGCCTTTGAGTAATCTCCCAGTAGAAAGTCCTGCCGTTAGAACATGCATAGCACTCATTCAAGAAAATCCAAGAATATGACAAAAAACTCATGGTACCCATAGATGCATGGGGCTATTCAAGACAAGATGACTTACTTGTATACTCACCACTTCAGTAGGACGATAGTACTTTGGGTCGACCTCAACTCTGACAGTACCTGTAGCTTTCTCAATTCCCTTCTCCTCCTCCCCCTTCCCCTCCCACCTGCACCAAGTCACACGTCACCAAACTCACACACACGATAATATGATGACAATAATGACAACATCACCAAGGCACCAAACTCACACACGTGACATTACATAATGACGACATCACCAAGGCACTCGCTCGCAGGCCATTATGTAATGATGACATCATCCTTACACGATCTCCATGCCGATCTGGGAGAAGGCCAGTTCGACCAGCTCCCTAACACTGTGTGTCTCTCCAGTTGCCACGACGTAATCCTCTGGCGAATCTCTCTGTAACATCAGCCACATGGCCTGCAACAACACGAGCTTGTAGTTAATGATATTCACAACCCCTTTCCTCCACTAGTGGTGGGGGGTATTATAGGTAGTCTGTGGTGGCATGGAGCAAAAGAGGAGGAAATAGCCTTCTCTTTTCAAAGAGGCCTAGCAAAACTTCCACAATCAAGGCAGGCTGACCACACTCTCCTTTAGAGCATTCCAGTGAACTACAAGACCCTCAAAGCTTGGGTTAGTCGGTAGACCACTTCCAAAGAAACGCAGCCTCTTTCTGGTGGCAAGAACAGGATGCTTGCTCTCCCTACCACAATATCGGCTCCTCCCGCAGCGCCCAGAGTGGGCCATGCAGTGGAGGAATGGGGAGGGTCTGTGTGGATAATATCGAGAAGGCAGGATGCTGATACCCATTGTTCCAAGTCCTTTGAAGTATAGAGGCAGAGCCACTATATACAAGAGGAGGCAAGTGACGCCAGTGTATGAGGAGTTCTCCTCACGACAGACACTATCATTTCAGGGAATCTCTGTCAGTCTTCAATACACCAAATACAGGATTTTCACAGGAATTCCAGGAATGTATGTAGTCAACGAATCTAATTAAGTGAGGCACAAACCACAAGTGCTGGCTACGGGGTTTATTCACGAGATTGTGAATTTCTTCTGAGATACGAAGGAGGGGCTGGGGGAGGGAGAGAGGGAGGAATGCTGGAACCTCATTTGCACCACACACAAACAGCAGGAGGGGGAAGAGGGATACGTAACTTCATATTATTGGTTGGAGACGAATGTGCAGTACATCAATTGTTAGAGTGAATGTTACTATTCCATGCTCCAACTTTACTAAGTCAGAGAAAATCAACCGTGGTTAGCTTGTCTTTACCTCTATTATCCTACAAGTAGTGCGAAATCATTAACAGGTCTAATTGGAGGGGGAGATGTATATAGTGGGATTGATGGGAGAGCGAACCTTCACGAAGTCCCTGGCATGACCCCAGTCTCTCTTGGCATCAATATTTCCCAGCTTCAGCTGTACATGGGTATCAGTAGGAGAATGAGAGATGGGCTACTACTCGTAGAACAGAAAGAGCAAGCACATGTGCATGATAGAGCGCACATTTGCGTGTTGTGAGAGAGAGAGAGAGAGAGAGAACTGTGTGTATGTGTGTTATTGGAGCTCACGTTCTGGGCATGCCCGAGGTGAATCTGGGCCACCGTGCGAGTCACCTTCCTCGTCACAAAGGTTTCTCCTAAACCAAAGACAAGCGGCCAGGTAAGTCAGTGACAGATGAGGAAAGGAGGAAGGGGGGAGGAAGGGAGAGAGTGAAAATCGAGGACCAATACCGAAAGTAGGTAAAGTCAACGAAATGACTATGCACACACGCAAATCCTGCAACCCCAGCCTAGGCAAACATGGCATGTTTTTTTACCGCTCAACAAACTTTCAGGACTTCCCGACATCATTCACCTGCACCGCCACCACATGTGCCATAAAGAGGAGCACGAGTAAGTGCGGGAACCACCGTAAACGTACCTCCTCCCCCACCCCTCCACCCACGGCCTCACGTAGCAGCAAAGAAACAAAACACAGAGACCGCAACGTCGTTAACCTCTTCGCGGGCTTTCGTGATTGAAGAGGACTCCATTGCAGGCATGGATACCGTAGGCTTCACGGTAGTTGACAACTATCCAATAGGCGTACAGCTTTGCTACCCCTGGGAGGATAGACCAGGAGAGGGGGAGAAAGGAACGGGTTACAGGGAAAAGTTAGATACAGTGGAACCCTTCTAATCTGGACAATACTGGGGCAGAAGAAAATGTCCATGTAATGTGTCCTAATCCATGGAAGAACTGTTCTTGGGGGAAGGAAAAGGTGTGTCCTAATGTAAAGAGTGTCCTCAAAGAGGAGCTCTGTAAACAGTGGAGGAGCCCTCCCTGAGCCTAGGGAACTGCTGAGTTGACCGAGAGGTTTGCATAGGTGACCAGAGAAACAAACAGAGCAGTAGGAGACGTTGAGACAGGAGAGTGTTTGTCTTACCTCACACATGGCCTGGGCACACGCAGCGAGAGGGGAGGGGGAAGAGGAGAGAGAGAGAGAGAGAGAGACAGGAAGAAGGGAAAGGAGGGAGAGAGGAGTGAAGTACCGTATGGCGAGCGAGGATAAAAGGGTGTGGTCTCTTTCTGTGGTGTCTCCTGCACTTTCCCATACAGTTCCGAGGTTGAAGCCTGGACGAACGGTTTACACAAACAACCATCATTTGTTGTCAAGCACTAGAGCACAGTGTTTGTCAATTACCCAAAGTGGCTCGTAAACACTAAGACCATATTTGGGCAATTGTGAAAATAGTATTGAGCGAGCGAGCACTACATATACTAATGCTTCTGGTGGCTAGATTGGTAGTAAGCTAACGATAATCACTGCCAATCTTCTTGAGTTCCTGGCCTACTCCAAATAGTAAGTATCTACTAAGCCTTTGACGCCCACGGAACACACGGCTCATCACTGCCTTAATTGGTCATCTGTCACTTTTCAGACCTTCGCAACACAAACACCTTGTAACCACGACAACAGCATTACAAGAAGCCGTGAAAACCAATCAAAAACTGTTATGTTTCTGAGAGCACTAGAAATATTTCCACCTCCTTCCATGTCAAATACATGGTCAAGTTTTCAATGATGTAATTGGAACTGTACAATTTCCAATGACATCATGGGAAATGAGGGATGAAAAGGAAGCAGCTGGTTCTCTCACCAGAGAAGAAGGCCCAGGGGAGAGAGAGGGAGAGAGAGGGAGAGATGGCCACTACCTACAGACTCTCTCAATTTCAGTGAGATCAAGGTGGGGGAAGCTGGTGAAGAATCCCCCACAGCATGTTGTGATAGCTATCTCACACATTACTCACTAAGGCTACTACTTATCCAGTTGTAAACATAGGCCAGTTTAGGATGTCTTTTGCTAATCAACCACAGACTTTTCCTCTGTCCCTCCCTCCTCCCTCTCCTCACCCTCCCTCTTAATTCTCTTCTCTTCATCTCTCTCTCTTCCTTGCGCTTATTGAATGCTTACGCAAACACAGGCTCGACCAAAAAACATCACTTTAGCTTGTTTTAGACGATTGTTTATGTGCACAGACAAGACCACTACAAGTGGAAGGCGGCCGACGGCGTTATAAAAACTTTCTCCAAACTTAATCCACACTCCATGGAAGGTGCCTTAGTCTAAAAAATACAACTCGCGTGACTGACAATTGACGATGCCACGCAAACAGGAAGGCTGAATGTGAAGGAGTGGGAGAGAGGAGAGCATTTCAGTTCACAGAGGAAGAAGGGGGGAGATGGGTTTGGAGAAATAGAGAGTGAGGGGGTGAGGGGGAGGGGGTGGGGGGAGGGACCCCAGCACAAACTGAGACTAATTTGAAACTAGAAATCATTCACATCCTGCCTCAGAGTGATCCTGAATATGATGCTAGTGGAGTGAGGAAACCCACCATGCGCGTAAGTCACACCTGGTCAGCTGGCAACGCGGCCTCCAGTGGCAGGTAGCTAGCAGGGAGAGGAGGAAATGGCCTCAGAGGGAGTAACTCGAAACTAAACGGATGTGCAAACCAGAAACGGAGCAGGTGGCGGAAGTGATGGGAAAGAAGGAGTGGGTTTGGGGGGAGGGATAGAGGCTGTTTGGGACTGGAACGGGGGTTTATTTTTACACATGCTTGCCTTACCCGAGCCAACCTCTCCTGCCACCGCATCCCTCACCTCAGTCTCTTCTGGTCGAGTGTCTTTCTTTCCGTTTCATTGGGTGTCCAACCATGTGCAGGTGAATAATTAACATGACGACCACTAGCTACCTGCCCCCCTACCATAATACTGTCGATCTGATCGTCCAGGCATATCAGCCATCTCACTCTCTGCTATTACAGGCGCAAGGGCGGTATCTCACTGCCAAGACCTCATATACCCTGTATATGTATACTCACTGGCAGTGGTTAGGGGAAATTACGAGGGGAAAAACTCCCAAATGCATGCCAATGAAAGCACACGGTTACCCAGAACAAATAAACAACCGACCAGTCGGCATACCACGGCGGTAACCCCCGCAGACCGCAGCGGTATCACCAAGAGATCACAGTGGTACGTACCCTCACCTGGTAGAAACGGACCGTCTTTTCGAGGCCACAGGTACGAATGGCGTCCAACAGACGAAGAGTACCAAGACCGTCCACATTGGCCGTGTACTCACTCAATTCAAACGAACACTGCGGGAATGGAGGGGAAAACCGGCCATCAACTCTCAATGGAGCCATTGGTTTACACGAAAGGCAGCTGCATCAAAACAAATACTGTGGGTCTCCCTGGCAACGAGGTATGTTAATCATACCGCCCACTGTTCCTGGTAAAGTCTGGAAAAAGGAGGTCACAAGGAAGCTAGGGTCTCCAGACGCACACACACTGTCTAAACTGATTATCTTTGGAGAAATGGTGCATTTTGTAAGTGGCTGTGTAAGAGTAAGGGAGGCGGTATAGCCGGCAATCAAGTACAAATGGAACTTTATTCACACTCGCTTTGTAGCATACCACAGACAGGTATAAATGCAGTGTGAAGAGGTTACATTTTCTACTACTTCAACTGTATGGAAATATGCTGTACATTGCTAGCACGATGTCTGAACCAGTGTCAGTGCACATACAATATGCAGTGTGATTACTGTACATTGCTAGCACGATGTCTGAACCAGTGTCAGTGCACATACAATATGCAGTGTGATTACTGTACATTGCTAGCACGATGTCTGAACCAGTGTCAGTACATACAATATGCAGTGTGATTACAGGTAGAGGGTGGAAGGAGTGGTTACACAGCTAACCTTCACGTTACTCTGGGCTCCAAGATTATATATCTCATCTGGTCTGATCTGCATAATTATTATGATGTAATTCACTGGAATGAATGCTGCCGAACAAATGTGGGAGTTACTGGCGTGAGCAGCAACGATTGCGAAATTCCAGTCACATGACATATGTATTTAGAATCAATGTAGGATTATTACGGTAAGAGTAAGTGATTAAATGTGTCTGACTTCCAACATTACTTGTGAAATGAGTTTAACAAGCGAAGAGCTGTCAGTGAGGTCACCATAATGGAGGATGAGGCCTGAGGGAGAGGGGGAGGAGGAGGAGAGAGAGGAATAAGGTGATGGGAGGGAGAAGTGAAAAATGGGAACAAGTGGAAAATATTCGCCCCACAACACACACAAAGACACGCAAGTTTGTATTTCTATTCACCGACCCTCAATGGCTCAAGGTTTATTTTTCTCTTGCATGAATGGTTGGTTTGCTAAATACACACGGAGTCTCGGAACACATGTCACCTCAACCCCAGTCGCTGGCAAGCTACAGACCGGCAACTGATAAAACTCTGACTCCCCCCATTTCTCATGCCCCAATGAGATACCTCCTTCATCGAGTTACCCTAATTAATGTATTCCTGGTGTGTTGGGCAGTCGTGGGTGGACAGGGAGGTGCCTTTATTGGCACCTCCTCTCCCTCTCTATCTCGAAAATAAAACAGCTGGTTGTGAGCACCCATCCTTTTCAGCTAACACTCAATCCTGGGGAATTTTCAAATTACGTAACAATGACCTTCAAGATTTCCCCATAGACAGGGTTAATAGGTGATGATGGCGAATGTTGAAAATAAAAAGATTTGGATACAAGCAGGCAAATAGACACTGTGGAGGCGTGTCTGTCCTCCTGTGAACAGGTGTGAAATATTTCTTTTCCAGTTTGGGAGAGTGAGTGTGCAGGTTTCAACATTGCAAGGTGGGGGAGGAGGTGAGGAGGAAAGAGACTGAGGAAGCAGGGGGGAAGAAGGCCACTGAAGCTGTTAGCTGCTGGTGGGAGGCAGGGGGCGGCCAACGCCAAGAAGGAAACAAAGAAAGGAAAAAAAAACTGGCAGAAAATGGAGCCCGTCCACTTTCGACAGCTGGCGCTCTCTTTACGTTCGCCCGGGGTACGGGGGGAGGAAGAAGACAGACGTGGTGTGTGTGTGTGTGTGTGCTTTCGGCAAGGCTTGTGGTGTTTGTGCAGCCCTTCTGCGGCACTCAGGCCACATCTGGCGTTCCCTCCACGTTGCTTGTTTAGCCAACCCAGTGTTAGCTTTTTGTGTTTTTCTTTGCAGGTTAGGGAAGGCGGAGAATGCAGACACCCGCAGCTAATGCGAGCCCCCGGACGGCACTCAGACCACTCGCACCGCATAACACGAGAGGCAAAAGGCAAAAGCAAACATTGCTTGGTGTACACTCGAGAGCTTTCAGGATGAGCTTGCACTCCTTCTCACGCGCTAATGGACGTTGAGAGGTTGATGGAGGCGAGGGTTAGCTGTGGGGGGAGGATTAGAGAAGAGAAGTCGACAAAGAAGCAAGGACGAGCGGCTAAACTAGGGTTTCCACTTGAGGCGTTGTTATAAATAGTTGCCTTTGTTTTGTGTATGTTTCCACGTCCCTTTTGGAGGGGAATGTAGTTTGGTAAACAAAGGATTGTAATTTCTGTTAAATAAGTACACACCGCAGTGTTTGAATTTGAGGCCGGCAGCCTCTTGAAAGAAGTGGCAGTAGATGAAAACCACACACGAGGAGCCGGGACCAGTCAGGCAGGGAGACCACCTGACTCATTACATGCGTCCCCCACTTACCATCGCTATCAGCTATGGACCACCTGATTCATTACATACGTCCCCCACTTATCATCGCTATCGGCTATGGGACCATCTTGCCAGAATGCATTAGGTGCTCGTCATGGCAGACTGGACCGTGATTACAAACTGGATCGTGCAGGGCAACGTGCTGTGAAGCCTGCCTGCCCGCCTCATCAGGAGTACATGTACTGAATACATAGTGCTGCTGATCATACGGTAAATATTACAAGACTCTTAATTAAGTATATATATTAACATACCAAGTACAGGGGGTGATTAGCGTCAAAATTACGCTCTCTACCTGCATGTCTCAACAACTTGGTAGCGAGGTAGAAAGGCAAGGCAAGGCAAACAAGTCAACTACACCCAGGACAGCATACACATGTAAATTATTCCATTTGCAAATTTTAACCCAAAATGAACTAATCATTGGGCTGAGCCAACACCAAACAAGTGAGACGAAGTCACCAGGTGTGCTCTAAATAGAGACTCACGGCCGCCTTTGTGGGCGTACTGGTCGTCAAAGAGATGGTTTATTCTGCCAGTGTTGAAGGTGCTGGCACGTCTGATGACTCCATGGACCTATGACGTGGAGGGTCATGTGTATAGTTGGAGAAGTGCACATGTATACACATACTATGTATCCCTTGTCCAACAGTAGCTCTGAGAGGTAAGATCCGTCCTAAGGGATAAAGGTAAGAGGCGTGGTTAATGGGGGGCGGGGCCTCGCGCTCGCTCTCCGCTGCGCTGCATGCTTCTTCTCTGTCGCTGTTTCGTCATCCCACGACTCAAGAAGAGACATGCCAGCGAATGCGTCCAGTTGCGCGGCGCCCCACACGCTGTCTTTACCTGCCCAGTGATCCCAGTCACGAATGCTATCTTCCCTCTCTCCCCGTTCACTTCCGGATCTCCGGCAGTTTCACTCGCGCATGAGTTACTGTCCACTTTTACTCTCTTGGCAGCTGGGGAAGAGCCTTCAGCCATTCTCTCTAATCAGGTCGCTCGACCAACTCCCTGCGCCCCAACACAACGTTACCGCAACCGCTACGCGATGCACGCGGACAGCGCGACACAGGAATTTGTTTTTTTAGGGGCAAAGTTTTTTTTATACTTATACACAACGGTTAGTGAAAAATGAAGCGATATAATAATAATAGTAATGTTGACCAATGCCTCTGCTGTGGCTATGATTCACTGAACATAATGATGATGAGTGTTACATCTAATCCATGTAGGGGTGGTGTGATTTTTGAGGGGAAAAACAACATCAGACTCAGACATTCTCAGAGTGACCTGCATTATTATGTTTGATGTCTTGAAGTTCTGCGAGCTCGGGTTTGATGGAGGGGATGCTAAGAGTGCTCTCTAGTTTCCCGAACGGGCTGGCGATTATGCTGGCATGCTGGGAGACATGTTCGGCTGCTGTGGGCTCCTGCTCTGGCTGAAAAGAGCACAGCGGGTCGATGGTGTGCGGGGAGCTACCTCCAGAAATACTGCTGCGGGGAGAAGCAAGTGGGACGGTATTTGTGGTGCCAATCTGGTGGAAGTTGTTTGGCATGGCTGCTACTACAGCTGATGATGAGGTGGACGGACAAGAATGAGCTGTCACTCCGGAAAGATCCGGGAGCTGAGCACTCTGCTGTATGCCTGGAGTCCAGCCTGACTGGCCGTGGGTGACGTGTGCTGTGTAGTCGCTAACTCCAGTTGCTGTTCTGGAGATGGAGGTGTCCTGGTAAATCTGAGCAGAGACTGGGAGACTCATCCCGTCCATGTAGGTACCGCCGAGAGGAGCCGTCATGCTGATTGCCTGGTCTGCAGTCAGGTCTGGTGGACGATAGGGAAAGTGGGACACTGCGGTTGGCATCAGCGAGGAGAAGTCAAAGGCACGCTGCTGGGTGTACTGAATGTGCTGAGTGCTTGGAGATATGATCTGTTGTCCATATGTCGGAGAAGCGACTGTCATCTGCTTCAGCTGTGCGGCTGTTTCGATGAGTTGATCGACTCCGGCCCCAGTCATGGAGATACGGTGCTGGTGCTCTGCCGGCGAAGAAGGCTTCGACATCACTCCATCGTCATCCCCCATATCCGGCACGTCTCCTTTCTTGAACCTCCTCTTCCTCCGTCGGAACGAACCGTCGTCAAACATGTGCTTTGCTGCAGGATCGAGAACCCAGTAGTGTCCTTTCCCCGGCCTCCCCTGCTCACGAGGGAGCTTCAGGAAGCATTCATTGAGCGAGAGGTTGTGACGAATGCTGTTTTCCCAGCCCTGCTTGTAGTTCTCTCGATAGTAGGGAAAGTTGTCTCTAATAAACTGGCAGATTTCCGCCAGAGTTGCCCTTTTGTTGGGGAGGGTCTGGATGGCCATGGTGATCAGTGCTATGTAGGAAAAAGGCGGTTTCTGTGGTTTGTGCGGGAGACGACCGGAGCTGTGGAGGAAAGTGTCCGAGAAGCTACCGGTGGCGGCCTGCGTCAGTTGCTGCTGAACTGCTGCAACTGTGGATCCTTGCTTACGTCCCTGGCGGTAGTACGGGTACAGGTCCGCAGCGAGGCCCGTGCTGGGGAACGCTTTGGAGGGGTCGGGGACCGTCGCGTAGCCGAGATTGACGGCAGCGGCCGCAGTTCCGGGGTGGCCGTACATGGAGGGGTACGCAGGGTAGCGAGGGTAGAGTGTGTTGCACGCGTAGGGATGAGGCCTCTGCATAGCTCCAGTTGCTACTTTAGCTGACATCTAGACACTTGCAAGTTTCGGTTGAAGACCTGCAATAGAGAAAAAGTGCAGAAATGTGCATAAAATTTCGTTCGCCGATAAACAACACACAAACAGATATCTTGAGTCTCTGCAAAGCAACCAATATTATTAGTAAAAACACACCTTGGCTCGATCTGTGGTGGTGTGTAGGACTGCTCTTAGTAATGTTTCTCAAGCTGATTCATTCAGTAGGGATATGATTCATAGACTCAGGAAGTCTCCCTCGCCTGCAGAGATGTCCGTCACAGAACTGACGGCGGCTGACGTTCAAGAGACGACTGCGTACAGCCAATGCAGAGGAAAGTATCTTATGCGAGAGTGACTGGAGACCTCTGCTTTTATACTTATCTTCCTGCACAGCGCGAGTAGGAGGTAGTTAGAACTTCGTGTCCGCATGCGCGCGCAGCTGACAGGATGCATGCAGCGCGACGGTTCTTTTGCGCGAACGCACGTAAGCCCGGAAACACTTCTACAAAACGAAACCGCATATAAAATATTTCTCAAGCAAAAAAACTGTCACTGCGCTGGCTCCTGCACGTTGGCAGCAGGCTGAGGTTCCTGGGCTTCAACTCCCCTCTGCAGGGGAACCTCTCTCTTTATGTGCTGCAGAGAGAAAGTAGTATAGCTCATGTGCAGTTATCACAGGATGTAGAGTGGCTGGCAAACCTCGATGAGCCTCTGTTTGTAATGATCATCAGTTTCGTCTTCCTCCTTCTCAGGCACTGCCTTCTCTTCCCTCATTAATATTATTTCAATATTGCCATCCTTTTCGTAGAGTGGAAGAGGATCCAACTTTGCCTTGTTGATCCGGTCAACCAAATACTCTTTGTAGTGTTTCCTATGGGACAGAGATGATGAAACAAGAGTTCTCTAAGTCTGGGGCATTGAGCCATACTCGCAGAGTCCGGCGTGACCGTCTTTGACCGGATCTCCACACGGCTCGTCCACTAGTTTGTCCACCAGCTCTTTCTGCAACATCACACTGCACTTCAGCTCTGCCTTTCCTCCTGTATTATACACACAATAAACACAGAGAAGCTATTGTATAATCTTCCTAAGATACTATTGTGATGTCCTCCTGGAGTTAAAAACTGCAGCCAAAACCTTATCCTCAGATTTATACCTTCCTTTGCTGGTGCATCTTCTCCATCCCCAGGTTCTACAGCTCCCTCCTCCCCGTCCTCCTCTCCCCTGGCTTGCTGGCCTGCCTCTAGCTGCTCAGGTGCCGGCTGAGTCTCAAAGTCCACTTTGTTTTCCCGCAGGAAGGCCTGGAGCCAGTCCACACTGAAGTCCCTCATGAAATAGAGACAGTCTCTGGGATGGTGGGCATGGAGGCCTTTTTTGAGACACGACTGGAATCTGCCACACGCCTGCAATCAAACACAAGTTCAGAAGAAGAGGTGTTTAAAGTATTTACTGCCTAAAAATCCCCAAAGAAAGAAGAGGTCCCAAGAAGTTGCCTGGAAGAGTTCACCTGTGCCTTCTTGAAGGAGCCTCCGCAGCCACTGCAGAACTCATTGGGACATCGAGTACACTTGAAATGCATGCATCCTCCACGAGCCAGCTCATACCGCATGTGGCAGTCTGGACATTCTGGAGATGACAAAAAACATTGTAAATCTCAAAATATTAGCACAAGAACAGCTCTACCGATTCCGTTGGCTTGCAGGTGAGCGGCCAGGCCTTCCTTCTGGAACCTTGGGTCGTTTTGCCTCTCCCAATCGGCAAACTCCTCACACGTCAGTCCGGTGTGCTGGTCCTTCCACTACAGCCAGCAGAAGGATCACAGCCCTACTCCACTCAACAGAGGCCAACCAACTCACAGGTTTCTTGCATGAAAGCACATGAGTCCATCGCAATTAGGACACTGGATCTTCTTTCTGTCGAGGTTCGGGTTGATAAAACAGTTCCCACATTTGTCCTGGACAATAAAGCACAACAGTTTTATCAAATGTTAGGCACCAATTATTTTGTAGCTCACATTTGCACACCATCGGAAGCCGGGATCTTTCTGTAGATTTCTCTCGGCCAGTTTGCCTTGCATCATGTTGTAGTGGTCCAATGGCAGGTGTGCATGGATCTGCAGAGAGTTGGAGTGGAATAAATCAACTAGTCGCCTACTGACTCACCAACTGGACAAAGAGATCTTGGTACAGATCCTGAGCATCGTCTCTGTTTGTCATGTCAGGCTGATCACACAGTGGACAGTTGAAATGCTTTACTCCTTTCTCTGTTATGACCACTGAAAAATGTCGCCTGAAGCAATCCTTGCACAAGGTATCAGTGCAGCCTGGCATAGTGATGGTCTGAACATGAGGGACATTAATATTCTCTTATTACTGGACCAGTGCTAGGCATTTCTGGCAGGTGAGAGCAAGCTCATTGCTAGTGTATGGAAAGGCAGACTGTTACACATCCATGCAAGAGTAGCCCTACATAAATCTTGTACTGCTGTAAAGGACAATTATTGTTCTTGATTTCGGAGCCCCTGAACTAGTCGCATGGACCAAGAAAGATTACCTCATGAACAGGTCTTGTTTCCGTGCAGATTGGGCACTCCTTTATGAGACCACGCTCAGCATCCTCCATAGATGAGTAGTCTCTCGCTGCATCAATGTAGTAGGAGAGAGGATAGTCCTTATCTTCATCATCCTCCATCTTGTACATCAGTTCGAGGACCATTTCTGCTTTGGTCATGTTGGGTAGCTTGTACTCCCCCATCAGCATACGAAGGTTAGCCTGTAGCAGCAGTTAGCACAGGAGTAGGTGAGGCAGAGGTGTAAGCATCATTCTTACCCTCTTTGCCTCATCTCCCCCACCCTTCTTCAGCCTCCCTTTGATGTTCTTCATGTCAGTGGCAGCCACCTGGGTCCACTCACTGAAGATGAATTCGTACAGCGGTTGCAGAGCATCGCACTGGATGGAGCACGCTGCCTTCTCCACGCTCATGTTGAACGAAGACAGAGCCTGTACTGCAGGCTTCCAGTCCAGCTCTTGGTGCGGTCTGAACTTCTGCTGCAGCTCCTCAATCTACACATACACACCATCACCTTTTCATTCAACGTTCAACATCCAAGAAGTAAGTCAGTTAACAAAATGCTGTTATCCCTAGGATAGGTTCTATTAGGTATATAAGCATGAAAAATCTAACACACACAATAGTAGACAAAATGACGTGCACACACAAAGCATCAGAGTAAAATGCACCACATAATTAGAATTCTCAACACAAGTCAACATGTATGGACACACCTTCTTTTTGCGGAAGAGGTAGACCTCTCTGCCAGCAGTCATCACGTCTCCACCAGAGAGGACCAGATATTTCCTGGCCTCCAGGTCGCTCGGGACACCCACCGAGCGACCATTTTGATCCACCATCATATAAACATACTCCTGTAGCTCTCTATGGGCGACAGAGAAAACCTGATGACATCATCATTCATCCTGCAGTGGTCATTTACCTAACACTCTGTGCCCAGTTCTGCCTGAGGTAGGCCAAAACCTTTTCTTTGCTGACTTTCCCACACTTCTTGTAGGCCAGTGCTATCTCCTCCAGGGCATAGCTGCGCTTTACACAAAACTAACGACAGAGAAAAAGAGAAATATCATAATTCGAACTTTACCTCTTCATTAGCCACACAACAGATTATTTCATTTACTTTGACACACTCCATGAGTGACTCTCCTTCCCTCCCAATGCTCTCCATCTTTCTGTTCCTCTCCTCCTCTCTCCTGTACCGCTCCAGGTCACTCAGTGCGTTCTTGCTGGGTTCCAGGTCCTTCTTGTTCACTCTCTTCTTCGCCTTTTGCTGCTCCTGCTGCTGCCGCTGCTGCTGTCTGGGCTGGGGAGACCTTTTCTTCATCTGAGGCAGAGGTTGACTGCCTGGCTCAGCAGGAATCTCATCATCCGTATATCCCCTCCTTTTCCACTCGTTTCTCCAAACCTCCATTTTCTCACGCATCTTCTCTATGTAACTTTTTTCGTTGCTATCAGGCACTCCGGCGCTTGAAGTCGGAGCGACTGCACCGGCTTCTGCTCCTGTCTCGTTTCTTTCGGCAGTAAAGGCTTGTGTCATGCGGTGTTTTTTCATTGCTTCCTCGGCGCTGGCTGCAGAGGCCCGTAGAGGTGGCGTGGGTCGTGGTTCCCCGGAGCCGAGTCTCACAAGCCCAGTCTCAGTGTGGATGGGGGCAGGCAGCGTGGAGGTGACGGATTGAGACACAGGATTGAAGCAGTAGTCACATGAGGCGAGATCCGACCGGATTATGTGACTGCAGTGGGGACATTGGGTTCCAGATGTTTGGTCCCCAGGGTTCCCTGATATTTGGCCCCCGGGGTTGACAGGGGGAGCGGCAGACACAACAGGCTGGGGAGGTCGGCTCTGCAGACTCGCTCCTTCTCCGTTAACTGAAGGTTCCTCCTCAATGATTGGAGAGTGATGAGCCTTTCTTGGTAAGTGGGTCTTCTCTGGACCACCGACTCTCTTCTGTTTCTGTGAAGGTAAGCCTTGGTAAGAAGTTGCTCTCACCAAGTTCTTATGAGTTTGGCTGTCTTCAGCTGGTGTGACTGTCGCCAGTGTGTTGGGCTTTTTTTCCTTTTCCTTTTTTATCTTTTCGTTTATTTCCCCTCGCTTCTTTTGGAGCATCTTCAACATGGTCTGGTAATCGACCGAAGCGTTTGTGCTATCGTCCAGCTCACTAGTGGTGTTTGGGGAGTTAGAGGATGGTGGTGTACCATAGTTTGAGTCCCCCGAGGAATTAAGTGATGTCGGCTGACTAGAAGGCTGGGTTTGGGTAGTTGGAGGTGTGTCTGGAGCATTTCTGTGGGGATTAGAACACAGTTCATCATGAGAGAGAGAGAGAAACAGATGATGTAATCGTACCGAAGGGTGGGCGGCTCGTAAGTACTGGAAATGGCAGGGTGAGGGACAAACGCGATAGTTGACGCTATCTGCAGGGGCTGCACTGGACTCCCCAAGACACCACCATTTTCACTGACACTGGCCACACGAGTGAATGGCGACTGATGGTGCTGGTAACTAGAACTCGGAGCGGAGTTGGTGTGAGTGAGAGTGCCGTGTGTGTGTTCGTGAGGAGAGGGTCTGTGCGAGGGAGAGAGGGAAGATGGCTCCGATCCTGCAGTCGGGGTGGACGGTGTTGACGCCTGACTTCCTCCGGAGAACTGCCGAGTCATTAACAGCGACTGGCCCTCGGCCCCCTCTGCCTCCAGTTTTGCCATCAGGAGCTCAGCAGCTATGACCTGGAGTTTTTCCCTGTCGGGCTCCTTGACGTGGTCTGGAAACTGCATGGCAGTTGGGAGGGACTCGGAGTAGCCGATCTTCACCAAGATGTCTCTGGCTCCCACCATGCAATCGACGCGGGCACAGAAGTGGGAGTTTGTGACTTTGATGGAGCGCCACACCTGGGGTCTCTTTGGTTTGAGCAAGTTGATGACGTATTTCAGCAGTAGGTCGCACGCCTGAGCTATCATACTTGAGGGGTTGGACTTGTCCTGAATATATAGAGAGCGAATTGGTGAAATAGGAAATGGAGACGAGGGAGAGGTGGTGTTACCTGGTTCCACTGGACGATCATGTGGAAGGGGACGTGTTCGTAGCGCGCGCTGCGAGGCTGGACGGCCTTGATGCAATCTCTGGCAAGCTGCATGTGATCATCGGAGACGGTGCTGGAGTTGAACCCGACGAACGACTGGACCAGTTTCGTCTTGGATGACATGTCGACGTTCATCTTCCGCCGTGCCGGCACTGGGCGTTGGGCCATGGCTGCCATAGGTGAGAAGAACTGCGAACTGCCTGACACTTAGTTTTTACACAGCAGGGGCTGAAGTATTCCGGCGAGCGGAGTACTATACACTCGATCTATCGAAGTCGGTGAAGATATTAATACAGCAACACCCTGCAAAAAGACACACGATCCGTCCCCATCCTCAAAATAAAACTGTCATTTCGTGTGCTTTTCGGGAATTCCCCCAAGCGGGGGGCGTGTCTCAGATTACTTATTACGTCATTCAGCGAAAACTTGCAAGTTCGCGAGAGATGCGGAGTGGCTTCAGATCCAGTATATTCGACCCTGTGCTAGTCGTAGCTCAGATTGTGAGTCTCTTCTGCTTCCACTGCGTGGCTCTGGGCGGCTGGCTGCTGTTGGCGAACCTCGTCGGCGGCACAAGCACCACCATCGACCAGCTATTCGACTACCACGTACGTGAGCTCCGTCCTCTAGACCGGTGTGTAGGACATGGATACACGTTGTTAAAGTTAACACGTGGTGGGTTTTAGCTAGGTATCGTATGAGCACACTGGTCGGTTCAAAGGAGAGTTTGCGAGCTGACTCTAATTAGTGCGCCCCACCGAGCTTTCTCACTCGGTGCAGGGGCCAGAAAGTGTGCAAGAGCGAGTCCGTGCCGCTCTCCAGGGCCTCCTGGCATCAGAACTAGCCAGTCAGGTAGTGAGGCTCACACACTGCTGCCCTGGGAAACAGACTGTGGAATGTGGGGGGACAGTAGCCGTCGTGATGGATCAATGTGGTGTCTATTTGTCTGCCACTGCAGGAGTTTGAAGGAACATACGATGGGTGGCTGGTGATGGGAGCTGTCAGCCTCAATTCATTCACCACGTAAACTTTTTAACCAAGCTTTCTTTGCAACTTCATCCCTTTACCCTAAACCTACACAGAGCACTTATAATGTGGAAGATTGTAAGAAGAGCAAAACAGGTATTTATACAACGTAGCCTAATTTGTTTTGTCTGTTTCGTGTCTTATTTATTACAAGCCTCTGTGTTCTCCAGTGTCTGGACTTTGCGGTGACTCTGATGCTGGTGTTCCTACTGGTGTGCCTGGTGTATGGAGGACTCCCCTGGCTCCTGTCTTGGTGGCTCACACATCTTGCATCCACTGGCATCACTGCACTCACTGCAGAGTACCTCTGTATGAGGACTGAACTGGCTGCAATCCCTCTCAGTGCTGGCAGCCTCGCCAGAACTTGACAACACACCAAAATCCTCTCATTTTACCTCATTTCTCTCAACCTCATCACACCGTTCTTTTAGCTCCTATGACCGTTGACCTTCCGGTACGATACTCGCATTGCGCGCGAGAAATACGCGGTACTCGCGAGTAGCTGCAACGGGGAGTCGTGTAAGAAAAGTATGGTTGTGGTTCTGATGGTAGCGGAGAAGCCCTCGCTGGCTCGCTCGCTGGCAGAGATCCTCTCGAAGAAGCAGTGCCGACGGCGCAAGTCCGACTGCAGTGCGTGCGACGTTTACGAATTCGAGGGAATCTTCCCTCCTGGAGGGGGCGGGGTCAGGGTGACCTTCAAAATGACGTCTGTGTGTGGTCACGTGATGTCTCTGGATTTCCAGCCTCAGTACAACAAATGGGAGCAAATTGACCCAGTAAGTTAGTTCTGGCGCACCCTCAATCTGTATGCAGTGTTCCGTCAGGTCGATTTATTTGATGCTGAGACAATGAAGAAAGAATCGATGCCAAACTTGCGAATACCTCACTTTCTAAGGAACGAAGTGAGAGATAGTTAATCGACCGACATACACACCTACTGTGATTCCGTCTCTGTGTCTGTGCAGGGAAAGGGAGTGGATTACCTGGTGCTGTGGCTGGACTGCGATAAAGAGGGAGAGAACATCTGTTTTGAGGCAAGTTTTCCTCCCCTTCTCCTCCCCCTCTCCTCCTCTCCCCCTCTCCTCCTCCTCACACATGATGTGCTAATGTATGCAGGTAATGGAGGAAGTTGAGCCAGTGATGAGACATCAGAGAATCCCCTCCACCCAGGTGCAAAATTTCTCTTTTTCACAAACTTGCCATTTTTGGGTTTGTACAGGCAGTATATAGAGCGAGGTTCTCTTCCATTACTGAGTCAGCCATCCTCAAGGCATTCGGAGCTCTCGGTCTGCCAGACTGGAACGAGTCCCGTTCCGTTGACGCGAGAATGGAATTGGACCTCAGAATTGGATGTGCCTTCACGCGGTTCCAAACCATGACCTTCCAGGTATAATACACTTTTATAGTGACATTTTTCAATTGGCATGCCAAACTTCTGCAATTCATTTCTACCTTATGTGAAAGTTGGATGTTCTCTTCATGTTCTGCTCTGCCCCCTGCAGACCAAGTACGCAGGTCTGAACAGCAGTGTCATATCCTACGGTCCTTGCCAGACCCCAACTCTCGGCTTCTGCGTCCAGCGACACGACGAAATACTCCAGTTCAAGTCAGAGAAATATTGGAAACTCGCTGCCAAGGTAACCGTAATCTCTACAGGTAGGTCCCCTGTCTTTTATGACCAATCTTTGTGACCAATCAGATCAGCCGGGGAGGGAGGGGAGGACCGGTGGTATCTCTCGACTGGGGCAGAGAAGGGTTATTTGACAAAGAGGTCACCCTCCTCTTCCTGGCTCGGGTCCAGGACTGTAGGGAGGCAGTCGTGGTGGGCGTGGCAGAGAAACCTCGCAGTAAGGCTCCGCCCATTGCTCTCCACACTGTCGAACTGCTGCGAGCCGCTTCCTCAAAACTCCACATTGGTCCCAAACTAGCCATGGACTATGCTGAAAGACTCTATACTGAGGTATGTAGTATATGCATGCTATAAGCTCAGAGGTAGATGGGTAGAGAGAAAGGAACAGTTTCTTTCTCTTTGCAGGGCTACATCAGTTACCCACGTACTGAGACAACTAAATATCCAAAGGATTTCGACTTCCGTTCCATCTTGTCCAGTCTCAGCGGCCATCCGGAGTTTGGAGAACATGCTTCGTCGATACTCAGGACTAGCATCAAACCTCCGAGGTAAAATGATAGCTTACGTTTGGATTTACTCCAGGTGTTCTTTACTCCAGTGGTGGAGTGGACGTGGGGGATCACCCTCCAATTACTCCGATGAGAAGTGCATCGCGCGACCAACTCCGAGACAGCGAGTGGAAGATTTACGATTTCGTTGCACGACACTTTTTGGCCACTGTGAGCATAGCTTCCTTACAGCACCCCCCTCCCTCTCTCTCTCCGCTCCTTTCCCTCACTCCCCTCCTCCCAATTCCTTCCACTCTCTCCCCTCCCTCCCTCCCTCCCTCACAGCTGATGCCAGAGTGCAAGTACAAACTAACAGAAGTAGAGATATCAATCGGCAGTGAGGTGTTCCACTGGTCCGGAACCACGCCCACCTCTCCCGGGTTCACTGCAGTCTACCCCTGGCAGGAGGTGCATGGAATGGAGACCAGCGTGGAATGGAACAAGGACCAACACTGGAATGTGGATCAGGTTGCACACAGTGGAACCTCTGAATAAGAGACTCTTTTCAGACATCGAAAGTCTTCTTTATTCAGAGGCATCACGTCGAAAGCCAAAACAAGTATCGTGTGGAGAAGTTATTGACTGTAATCTTTACAGATGAAATTGAGTGAGCACGAGACCACACCCCCTGGCTACCTGACAGAGAGTGAACTGATAACCCTGATGGAGAAACACAGAATAGGGACGGTGCGGTTGCCACATATCACATTCTGATCATTCCATTCCCCTGTTCCCAGGATGCCAGTATTCCAGTCCACATTGAAAACATCTGTTCTCGTAACTACGTCCACGTTGACAGTGAGCGTCGGTTAGTTCCGACCAAACTGGGCGTGGTCTTGGTCCATGGGTACCAAAAGATTGATCCTCAGTTGGTCCAGCCCACAATGAGATCTGCAGTCGAAGAACAACTCAACCTCATTGCCAAAGGAAAGGTGGGACGCCATAGTAGCACAATTTCATGCACATACTATATACATATAAAACTCATGTTTCAATATATGAAATATTGCATGCACACTGGCTTTGTACGTGATTTTCAAAACCATTTTGTAATGAAAGTTTTTCTCTCTCTGTGTGTGTGTATGTGTCAGGCTGACTTTGATTCTGTGCTCCAACACACACTGAACATATTCCGAGCAAAGTTTGAGTTCTTCCGAAGCCACATTGAGGAGCTGGACGAGCTGTTTGAGGCTTCGTTCTCCTCCGTGGCCGAGACGGGCCGCCCGCTGTCTCGCTGCGGCAAGTGTCAGCGATATCTCAAGTTCATCGCGGCTCGTCCGCAGCGGATGTACTGCGCCCACTGCAACCAGACGTACAGTCTGCCACAGGGTGGCTCCATCAAGCTCTACAAAGAGATTAAATGCCCTCTTGACGACTTTGAACTTCTCGTGTTCTCATCGCCGACTAAAGTGAGAGATTCCCGTGCCCCTGATTCACATGATGTCATGCCCTGTTCTCTCATACAGTCATACCTCGTGTGTCCGTACTGCTACAACCAGCCTCCGTTCAAGGGAGTGGCTAAAGGAATGGGTTGCAACCAGTGTCCGCACCAGTCTTGTCCCCACGCCATGCCGCAGGGTCGGGTTGACCAGTGCTCAGAGTGCGAGCGAGGAACACTCGTCCTGGAGCCTTACATCAAGACCGGAGGCCCCGCCCCCAAATGGAAGATCTCATGCAATGGCCCAAAGTTAGGGAACTTTGGTAGCTTGCTACCTCTTGTTGTGTATCTCCTTGTGTGTGTGTGTGTGTGTGTGTGTGTGTGTTAGGTGTCGGGTGATGTACGAGGGATTCGCTGGCTCCTCTGATGTCCACAGCTCCAAGGAGAGGTGTGAGGGGTGTGGCTCTTCTCTACTGACTGCCGACCTTAGTCGAGTATGTCGTGCAAGCCCCTGTCTATCTCTCACCGTATCTCTTCTCTCAGGTTTCTGTTGAGAATAGTGGAGGTTCAAAGGTCACCGGGTGCTGGGAGTGCGATGATGTTATTTCAAATCTGGTTGTCCCGGCAACACCAGATTACAAACGGGGGACAGGGAGGCGTGGTCGGAAAAGAGGACGTGGACGAGGAGTTATAAAAAAATTTTGATGATTTAAAAATCCCATTGTGTAAAAAATCGGATATTATTATTGTTATTCGTCATCATCTGAGGAGTTTTTTCTCTTCCGTTGAGCCTTGTTCAGAATGACAGCGGGGTCCACGTACCTGGAATGGGGGTATCGGGTATGGAATCTTGGAAACATGGGACTGGGACTTACTTGGAGGTCGAGGTGATATCTCTGAGAGCCACTCCTCGAGGAGTCAGTGGTCCAGAGAAGACGAATCTCCTTACCTCATTCCCTATCGCGGTGTCCTTGTTCTATATTTAGAACATCCCTATGACGTAATGGGTGACTGCAGCTAAAAGGTTACACAATACCTGAGAGATCTCGTAGGCAGAGATGACAAGAGAAGTAAAGAGGTTAAGGACTCCATAGATAAACAGAGCCAGGAAAATGTAGAGAAAAGCTCTGCTGTAGATGTATGCAGCCAAGTCGACCTGGGGCTCCAGCTGAATGTATGTGTTGTATATGTCGTCTCCGTTCAGTAGAGAAAACAGTGTCTCAACTGAATCGTTGATGGTGGTAAACTGGGGGAATGGAGGGTAAAGAGTTTGTGTGTGTGTGTGTCATGATTCCATACCTTGGGATGGAATTGACCCAGGACTACCCAGCCACAGAGAGAAAAGGCAAAGAAGAGAACTGCTCCACAGAGGATGAACTTCACCAGCTCCGGAAAAGCCAGAGCCAGTGTGCGAGTCAGAGCCTACGAGAGAGAGAGAGAAGCTACTGTTACGTGCTATATTTTGCAGTTATGTAAACACACATTGACTTGTCTGAAATAGTTCAGGTAGCGAAGAATGACTGCACTTTGAAACAGCAGTGCTGTACCCAGTAGAATTCGAGCAGCACTTGCATCCAAAACAACCTGTGGAAAAAAGAACACAACGTCAAAAGCCAGGAATGAGAGTGAGTAATAACATACATCAAACTCCAAGAGGATCTTGTAGACTGTGCCGGCGGTAATGATGACGTCGCTGAAAATGTTTACGTAGTTCCACTTGGAGAAGAGAGAGCGTCTCTCCCACCAGCTGAGCGGGAGGTGGAGTCTGTGGTGGTAGAACTGACCCATCGCCTTCCCCAGGCGGTACGCCCTGCGCAGAGTCTTTCCCGTTAGGTACAGCGAGAGGAGAGAGAATTTCAGCACGATGAGATCCAGCACCAGCAGACTGCCCTTTATCACCTTGTAGCCAGCTGGAAGTGGAGAAGAGAGAGGGGTGGCAGTGGTTTTTAAAAATACACAACCACTGGTGTTGGGTTACTTACTCTTGTCTCTGAGGATCTCTCCCTCACAATTATCAATCCGAGAATAGTCGGTCCCAAGGCTGTACAAGATCTTTCCATTATTATCGTCATTGACAAACACAATCTGTTGCCATATTATTATTATACCAACACCATGTGTCACGATGTACACATTACCCACTGTGTCATTACCTGAACATTAAACCTGAAGCATTCTGCCTGCTGGGGAGCTTCAATGCGGATCACATTCACTGGCAGTCTAACGCGCAACTCCAGAAACCTGCATTACGGTAAACACTGAAACAAAAGCCGACAAAACACTCTGTTTTTAGATGTTGTTTACTCCTGCAGACCTCCATACTAACTACACTACACTGTGACTGTTCAAGCTCTCTGAAATAACAAAGTAATGATTCACTCACTTATGGAAGTGTGGATCTTGTGAAATTTCAAACAGTCTCTCGGTGATGTTGCTGTTCAATGTTCTGGAAAAGTTGACTACCCACAAAAGGAGTCACGTACAAACACAAAGTCACTGAGCAGTGAAATCACGGGAATTGATTGACTTACACTCTAAATTGTCAATGTTTCCGTCGAGAACAAACCGACTTTCGCTAGCATTAAGTATGGCCTCTCTGTACTGTCTCAGTGACAGTTGGAGCGGAACAGGCTCTCCCTCTTCATCCCTCTCCAGATCATACCCTCCGATTACTACCTCCGGCAGTCTGTAGTACTGGGAGGCGAGGGAGGAGAGGATTATTTGTAGTGCAAATTAGAGAAGAATGCAAGCAGACATTTGTGGCAATGAACTCCAGTTCTTTAGCGACGTCCTGGATACTGTAGAGGGTCTGCTGCTGCAGCACTGACTCTGGGTCAAAATCCACCACAAATACACTCTCAAAGACAATACGACTGTCGAAAAAGAACTCCCCTCTCTTGTGGACAATGGTTTCCGTGAACAGGACTGCCTGGGATGGAGACAGAGTAACACAGCTGTTGATTAACTCTGTATATAGCTTGCAGACAGGAAATGCTATCACACATAATACTATAATAATAGTGCTGCCGCTAGCAAATAGTCCCGGGCAGCAATTATACAAAAATGGCCTGCATTCTCGTCCGTAGTGGCTAGATACCTATAAGTGCAGGTGTGTTCTGGTGCCACAATTAGGCGGTTTGTTGCAAAACATGCAGCCTCTTGTGGGCAGGGACTTTAAGTAGCAAACAAACACATTCACTGTTGGGAAGATCGCTAGATTTTTTGAGAACTCAGACCTTAGTTGAAAAACAAAAACCCTTACACACCATAATGTTATACCTGAACTATCAATACTAAAGTCTTCAACAGCTGAAGAATCAGTTTAATGGGGACCTGTCGCTCCACCTTCCACCTCTTGATGGGGGTGGCAATGTGCCAATAGAGATTGGCCTTCAGCTCCAGCTCATTCTCTGCCAGTTTGTCAAAGTCCAGGGTGGTCTGCAGTCGCTGTAATTTGGGGGGTTTGCGGCCCCGTCGTATGCGGCTCCCGATACGACTGAGGCTGTCTGTGAGACTCTGTCCCAGACTCCGTCTCATGCTTCTCTGCCGTGTGTCTCGTCTCTCCCTCAGGAAAACTATCTCCTGCTCTGATGACTGCTGATCACCGCCATTCAGAAGACCTGCTGCAGCTGATTCACGGGACTCTTCTTCATCATCTGGAGTTCAGCCGAGTTTGAATATCAGTGAATGGGTTCACTGAGTAGAACAACACATTATGAGTCACGCTTACCAGCTCTGGTGCTGTTGCTACTGTTGACGTGAACCTGAACCTCCACCACCGCCTCCCGAGGTCGCACAGAGCTCTCCGTCGGTAGTGCAGTTTTGCCCTGGTGTTCCAGGTGTTGTTGCGACGAGACCGTGGGCATGGACGAGCCAGGCAGAGTTATACACACTTGCTTATTGGTCCGTCTCCTCTGCTGAGCTTCACTCCCGTCGCTGGTGCTGTCCAGGGAAGTGCTCTGACGGAGAATTCCGGTGCGACGGCCGGAGAAGATTGCGGGCTGCGACTTCGGCGAGACACTCTCGCGGAGAGCGGATAATTTATCCTCCGCTTCGTTTTCTGCAGTGCTGGGGGTGTAAGCGGTGAAAGTAGCCGTCCTTATCGGTTGTTTACCGTCTCGGGACGCGTCCTCCGCGGTTCTCATCGAGGAATGCAACGGAGGCATGGTCATGCATCTTCCGTCCAGCCCGCCTCTGTCTTCCAGTAGCAGATAACCAGAGATGGGTGTACTTCTCGGTTCCTCCATATCCACCATTGCTAGTAGCCAGCAACAGTTGTAACAAACTCTCCAGTACAACAACAATGGCTTGATATGTGTCACATACGTTGTGCGGAACGAAATAGTTTACGCATGCGCAGACTTGTGCGCAGGTACACACGCGGGAAAGGCGCGCTCTAAAACTCCCAGTTTTTGCAGAGTTCTCGGTGGCGAAAGAGACTTGAGGAGTGTGTTGGGCCAGAAGAAATGGTGAAAGTGGACTCGGCGGCCTTCGTGAGCAGGCTGGAGAGGCTCTACAGCCACTGGGAGGTGACCGAGTGTGGCGTTAATTAGAACGGTATTCGATCCCCCGCCCGCGATTTCACTCTCCGTTCGTTTTGCAGGGAGTAGACGAGGAGAGGGAGGAGCTGTGGGGAGAGGCGGACGCCCTCGTGGTGGTGGTGGGCAAGGACGACGTCCTCTACTCCAAGTCGACCACTCTACACGTATGGAATAATCACAGTAGCTAGTGGGAGTATTACTGTGATGGTTGGTTTCAGCTGTGGCTGTTTGGATATGAGCTGGCTGACACTCTCTGCATCTTCTGTGCGAATGAGATCCACATCCTGAGCAGCAAGAAGAAGATAGAATTTATCAGGCCGTTGCAGGAGGTGCTAGCTTCGCGAGCCGACCTCCCTAAACTTTCGCTCCACACCAGATCCAAAGTGAGCCATGGAGAATGACAAACTCAGACTCACATGTCTCCTCAGAGTCACAATTGGTATCAATCCACTTCTCTCTAATTATAATGTAGGGAGAAAATGATGCCGAGCAATTCCAGACATTAGCTGGAGTCATCAAAGACAGCAAGAGAGGGAAGAAGATTGGGGTATTCTCCAAGGACAATTTCACGGGGTCGTTTGTGGAGGGATGGCAGACGGCTCTGCGAGAGGTGAAGGTTACGCAGGTCGACGTGAGTTCTGCGTTTGCCTTTGCCTGTGCTGCCAAGGACGAGGCTGAAGTCTCCACCGTGAAGGTGCGGTGTTCAGTACCTCGTTTTGGTGATGTGGTTACCGGTTTGGTCGGTTTGTGTGTGTGTGTTGTGTGTGTGTTGCTAACAGAAAGCCTGTCAGGTCACGTGTACAGTCTTCAGTAAATACGTGAAGAAAGAAATTGTGACAATCGTCGACGAAGAAAAGGTGAAGAGTAGTCAATGACATAGTCCTGTAGAGAGAACAAACTAATATCTTCATCTTCCTCCGCAGAGAGTGAAGCACTCCAAGCTAGCTGATGGTATTGAGCAGGCCGTCTCAGAGACCAAATATCTACCCCCTGGATTGGACGCGGACTCTGTGAGTGACGACTCCCACATCCTTCCTCACAGCCAACCTTTTATCTTGACTTTGCCCACCCCCAAGATATCTCTGTCTGTCTTCTTCTTAACTTCTACCGTTTGTCTGCTACTCTCTCTTTCCATCTGTCCATTGTGGCTGGAGAAATGTTTCCATTTGTCTTTTTTTCTCCCTTGTCCACAACCATTTCTCCTCTCTCTCCCTCCCTCCCTCTCTCCCTCTCTCTCTCTCTCCTGTCTGGGGTGTGCTCAGCTGGAGATATGCTACAGCCCCATCATTCAGAGCGGAGGTCAGTACCAGCTCAAGTTCAGCACTGTCTCCTCCGACGAGAGACTCCATTTTGGCACCATTGTCTGCTGTCTCGGTGTCCGCTACAAGTCGTACTGTTCCAACGTCGTGCGGACCATGTTTGTGGAACCTACAAAAGTGAGTTTGACTGCAAAAATTATTTGACACTATCATTTTTTTTTTGTTTTTTGTGTCAGTGCATGCATGCATGAATGCCAGCTTTACGCTGTTATTATTAGCTATCCAGTGTGCCAAAGGCTTGTTATTGCACGTCTCAGGAGATGCAGGACAACTACACCTTTCTCCTGTCAGTCTATGAGACGATTCTGAGCTCACTGAAAGAAGGTTTGTTCCGTCTAGCTAGCTGAATATCGAGGCTGTGTGATGTATGTGTGGTGTATAGGAGTGAAGCTGTGTGATGTGTACAACGCTGCCCTGGAGATGGTGGAAAGAGATAGACCTGAACTAAAGGACAACTTCACCAGAAATGCCGGGTTAACCCACCTCTTACCTCGCCCCACCCTCACCCTTACACTCGCTACCTCCCTCCTCCTCCCCCCACTCCAGGTTTGTGACAGGGATTGAGTTCAGAGAGAGTTCGCTGCTGCTGAGCCCCAAGTGCCAGCTACCCATCAGGAAGGGGATGCTTTTCAACGTCAACATTGGTCTGGCCGGACTCACCAACCCTGAGGCACAGGATACTGCTGGCAAGACTTACTCCCTCTTCATTGGAGACACTGTCCTTGTTGCTGAGGTGAGGGGCCGGCCCTTTCTCTGTATGAATAAGACTATCTAGCTCTCCCCCTCCTCTTCTCTCTCCCTCCTCTCTTTTCTGTCAGGATGGTCCCGCAGTTGAATTGACTGGCGTTTCAAAGAAAAAGATGTCAAGCATTGCCATCTTTCTTGGGGTGAGCCTCAAATCCTCGACTTTCCTTCGTCCCTTGTGTATGTACACGTCTCCATTCCATTCCACTAGGACGAAGATAAGGAACAGGAGAATGGACCCGGACCTGACATAGTGAGTCTTATTACACTCTATTACATCATCACCCGACCACACCCACCAACCACAGGAGGAGCAACTTAGCAAGAAGTTCCTCACAAACAGAACACGAGTAAGTGTCTCATTTCTAACTTTTCATCAATAACACATTCTCTCTCTCTACCCTACTCTAGATGGAGCCCGCCTCGGAGGACAGGAGGATGAAGAGACAGAAGGAACTGGCCAAACGAGTTAATGAGGAAGCCATGAAGAGATTCCAGGACCACAAAGACGAACAGATCTCAAAGAGGTTTGCTATCTTCCCTATTCCTCTGCCGTGTGTCTCAACTGTGTCTGCGGAGTTTAAAATAATAAAGTTTAAAAAGAATATTTTCTTGATTCTTTGCCTCACAGACCAAAGTTGTCGTCGAATGTTGCGTACAAACATGTTTCGTCTGTTCCGAGAGATGCTGAGGTTCAAAACTTCCGCATCTTTGTTGGTATGTTCACTCGTCACCCAAACACTCAGTTTTTGTGACTTTACATACCCTCTCTCGTCTATTCCCCTCCCCTCTCCCCTCCCCTCCCCTCTCTCAAGACCGCAAGTACGAGGCAATAGTACTGCCAGTCCATGGAGTCCCCCTTCCTTTCCACATATCCACCATCAAGGTGCTAACACACTCACATGGCGTGGGGAAGTACACACTCTAGTTCTTCAACTCTATATAAAGTCTAGGTGTGTCCACTGCATGCCTTGGTAGCAGTCGTGCAAGGCAAGCCGGTGTAAGTAGGGAGATTCACCGTGGAACTTTTAGGATCGTTTTTACAATGGCTATTCTTTGGCTTGTTTCTACACACAATCTATCAGCAGTTTTCATGTTTTGGTCTCATGTGTGTGTGTGTGTGTGTGTATGTGTGACTACAGAACATCAGTAAAAGCGAAGAAGGTGACTATGTGTATCTTCGTATCAATTTCTTCTTCCCTGGAAGGTGGGTCACTGTACATATGGCGAGAAAACCCGTGAATTTTGTTAGAGCCATCCGCTAAAATTTTCGAAATGACAGATTTTTGCCCTGAGCATGTGTCCGCCATAATAACTGTATTGTTGTTATTCTCTCTCTTTCTCTCTGTCAGCTCACTGGGTCGAATCGATGGCGTTGCATTCCCCAATCCTGACGCCACCTTTGTCAAAGAAATGTCAGTCTTCTTTTGAACACACACACATACACCACCGTCAACAAATTTATTAGCCATTTAAGCAAATGTGCAGTTTGTTCATTATGTGTGCATTAGTATACAGATGTTGTCATTTTCCAAACCACATGAAAGAATGCTGTACCTCTTTCCTCCTCCCCGCAGGTCGTACCGAGCTAGCTCCACGCACGGAGTCAGCGCGGCGTCCAGTCTGGTGAACGTGTTCCACACCATCAAGGAGGTCCAGAAGAGGTTCAGGACGAGGGAGCAGGAGAAGAGGGAGCTGGAGGGGGTCGTGGAGCAAGAGGCACTCGTCCTCAACACGATGAAGGGGAACCCCCGTCTGAAGGACCTGTACATGAGACCAGTCATTGGTTCCAGGAGGGTCCAGGTACGTACGCAGTGAGAAATCTCCAAATAATGCACACTCGGAGTAAAGAACACCTCTAAATACACTCGTTCCTCCACCATAGCAGTACATTTATGACACACCTCTAAATACACGCGTTCCTCCACCATAGCAGTACATTTATGACACACCTCTAAATACACGCGTTCCTCCACCATAGCAGTACATTTATGACACACCTCTAAATACACGCGTTCCTCCACCATAGCAGTACATTTATGACACACCTCTAAATACACGCGTTCCGCCACCATAGCAGTACATTTATGACACACCTCTAAATACACGCGCTCCTCCACCATAGCAGTACATTTATGACACACCTCTAAATACACTCGTTCCTCCACCATAGCAGTACATTTATGACACACCTCTAAATACACGCGTTCCGCCACCATAGCAGTACATTTATGACACACCTCTAAATACACGCGCTCCTCCACCATAGCAGTACATTTATGACACACCTCTAAATACACGCGTTCCTCCACCATAGCAGTACATTTATGACACACCTCTAAATACACGCGTTCCTCCACCATAGCAGTACATTTATGACACACCTCTAAATACACGCGTTCCTCCACCATAGCAGTACATTTATGACACACCTCTAAATACACGCGCTCCTCCACCATAGCAGTACATTTATGACACACCTCTAAATACACGCACTCCTCCACCATAGCAGTACATTTATGACACACCTCTAAATACACGCGCTCCTCCACCATAGCAGTACATTTATGACACACCTCTAAATACACGCGTTCCTCCACCATAGCAGTACATTTATGACACACCTCTAAATACACGCGTTCCTCCACCATAGCAGTACATTTATGACACACCTCTAAATACACGCGTTCCTCCACCATAGCAGTACATTTATGACACACCTCTAAATATGCGAAAGTTCAATTTCCTCAAAGTGTCCCTTATTCAGAGGTTCACTGAACCACTCTTCTTCCTCTCTTATTTCACCTCTGCTGCCTTTCTCTCTCTCTTCTCCTCTCGCCTCCCCTAAACCACAGGGGACATTGGAGGCCCATACAAATGGTCTGAGGTACACGACCCTGAAGGGGGACAAGGTTGACCTGGTCTACAACAACATAAAACAGGCCTTCTTCCAGCCGTCACGCAGCGAGATGATCGTACTTCTCCACTTCCACATGAAGGTATGTACTATACTTCATCATGCACTATAATAATATTACTGTAGAGCATTGATTATTTTCGCAAACATGTAAAAAATTAATCAGATTGGGAAAATTTCATCGTGGTACAGTTAAAAACCAAATGACTTTTTTGCCTCTCCCTTCTCCTTCTCTCTCTCTCCCTTCTCCTTCTCTCCCTCTCCCTTCTCCTTCTCTCTCTCTCCCTTCTCCTTCTCTCTCTCTCCCTTCTCCTTCTCTCTCTCTCCCTTCTCCTTCTCTCTCTCTCCCTTCTCCTTCTCTCTCTCTCCCTTCTCCTTCTCTCTCTCTCCCTTCTCCTTCTCTCTCTCCTCTCCCTTCTCCTTCTCTCTCTCGCTAAAGAGTCCCATCATCATAAGTAAGAAGAAGCACCGAGACATACAGTTCTACACCGAGGTGGGAGAGATAGTGACAACTCTCGGACGGACGCAGCACATGCACGACAGAGACGACCTCATGGCCGAACAAGCAGAGAGGGAACTCCGCGCAAAGCTGGACAATGCCTTTGACAACTTCCGGAAGAAGGTGGAGGCCTTGCCACAGTGTCGGGTCACGTTTGAGAAACCGTTCAGGGAACTCGGGTACGTTCTTGCTGGACCCAGTTTAGAGGTTGACACATGTGTCAGTGATCAAGAGATTTTACCAGCCATGTATCTTCAGCTGGTTGTAGCTACTGGAGATTCTGGAGGTCCACCTGTGAGTAAGTGATCCCGTCTGTCTGTAGGTTCCATGGAGTTCCACATCGCAGTACGGTGCTGCTCCAGCCAACCACTCACTGCCTCGTGAACCTCACTGAGCAACCTCCCTTCATTATAGTCCTTGACGAGGTGGAACTGGTCCACTTCGAGAGAGTCCAGGTAGCATTGAACAGTTCCTCATCGTGTACAAGTCACTGTGTTCCTCCCGTCTACTAGTTCCACATGAGGAATTTCGACATGGTGTTTGTGTTCAAAGACTACAAGAAGAAGGTTGCCACGGTGACGGCTATCCCGATGACCCAGCTTGACTCCATTAGAGACTGGCTCAAGTACGTTACCCCACTCCATTACTCCACGCCATCACCCCACTCTATCACTCTCTACTCTGGCCACAGTTCGTGTGATAAGAAGTACACTGAGGGGATTCAGAGCTTGAACTGGACTAAAATCATGAAGACAATTAACGACGATGTCGAAGGTTTCTTCAGTCAGGGAGGTTGGAGCTTTCTCGACCCTTCTAGCGATGTAAGCCCCGCCCATTTCTCAAGCCACGCCTACTATGCCCCACCCACAGCAAGAGGAAGCGGAGGAGGATTCTGAGATGTCAGATGAGTATCATCCGTCTGACGCCTCCACTGTCGTCAGTGGAGGGGAGGAAGAGGACAGTGACGAAGATTACACTTCGCTCTCCGAGGGAGACTCCTCAGGTGGGTGTGGCAAGTAGGCGTGGCAGGGTCAGAGGTCAAAGTATGTTTCCCACAGATTATGAGGAGGAAGAGAGTGAGGAGAGTGGTAAGGACTGGGATGAGCTGGAGGCTGAGGCGAGGAGAGGTGAGAACACATCACGACTAGTTGCAATACTCCAAACTCTCTCTGTGAATGCAGCTGACAGGGAAGATGCCCAGTTGGATCGCCCAGAGGAAGAGAGCTCGTCACTGTCCAGGAAGAGACCGGCGCCGTCAAAGAAGGGCTCCACCTCCAAGAAGATGAAACGTCGACGATGATGTATATACCTTTGTCCACACACACTGACTGTTCGTTTGTCGTTTCTCTGACTCATTTCACTCCTGTGCTCTTTCTTGAAGTATGTGTAGCTAACATGTGCAATTCTTCTCGCATTGTAATCCAACGTACCTACCTCACTGCGACGAGGCGGAAGCGCATGCACAATTAATAATAATACGCGTTTGCCACGTATAAGTACGTAACGGAACGCAGCCGATGGCCGAAGACCCAGCGGAGGCCGAGCGACAGGAGCTGGGGTTTTTTCAGGAGACGGTGCAGGGGAAGTCGCTACGTGTGGTGGAGAGAGCGGTCCCCAGCTCCGAGGTGTGTGTTTTCCTGGTTCACGGAGGAGGAGGCAGGGCCGGCCAGTTCAAACACCAGATACGGCGCCTGGAGAATGAGTGAGTCATCCTTGCAAAATTCAGAGACCCTCTTCTATGTTGCCAGCTCCTCTCTCTCTCTCTCTCTCTCTCTCACTCCACGCTGCAGTTATAACGTAGTGGCGCTGGATTTCTTAGGACACGGAGATAGCCCCGCCCCCAATGAGCCACGCCTCTACACCGCCGATGAGGTAGGTATTAATTCAGAAGAGAGCATTTCTATATAATCCCTCTGTGTTGTTATTGTTAGCATCTGGAGGACCTGAAGGAAGTGTATGAGGTGCACAAGAAGGAGCAGAATGTGATAATCAGTCATTGCTACGGAGCGGTCCACACCCTCCATCTGATAAAGTGGCTAAGAGGCAAAGGGAGGGCTGCTGAAGTGGTGGGTGTGGTTATGATGTCACTGGGTGCCAGAGCCCCTGCCTCCATTGGCCTACTGGGGAAAGTCCCTGCTTTTGTCCTAGGTATAATATACTTTCTGTAGACCTTTTCCACAGTTGATATAATGTTCCACAGAGTGGCTGAGACCTCTGGCCAGAGCCTCCTCCAACAGAGCTCTGTTCACTCCACACACTGACCCAACCCTCATCCAGTCTGAGAACTTCATGTCCAACAACAATAGGATGTACGTCATGAAGGTGGGTGCGGCTAAAGATTACCACTTGACGTCTTTATCGGCTTCTTCCCAAGCAAGATTATCTTATAAAACTATGTTCCTCGATAATTGAGTGTTTGCTTCTGGCTTGTCTTACTTTAATACATTATTTAAAGATCCGCACACGATTATAGCTCTCCATATACCTGCGCAGGTGATTGGTGCAGACTGTAGCGACAATGAGATGTGGACTGCGGCCATTTGTGAAGGAGCCGAGGCCCTAGGAGATATTCCTCGCATATGTCTCTACGGGACAGAGGACGGAGTATTCCCTGAACCCACATGTCAGGAGGCTGCAAAGACCCTGGGCGTGGCAGAGGGACGATGCCACCCTCTGGAGGGGGCGGGGCACCTGTGCATGCTTGAGGCTCACAAACAAGTCTCGGACATCTGCCAGAGATTTATTGCCGAACTAACATCAGATTAATTTTCAAAACAGTCAATGAATCTGAAATTAAATGTGTGTCTCTATTGAAAACTCACAGCAAGCAAGCTGTCACACTTTGTAAACTTAAAACCAAAGTCATTTGTATTGAAACTACCGGCTGGCAGTTTGTATTTCAGTGTTCAGTTTGTATAGAAAATAGACGTGTTTGTTGGGCAGACAAACGGCTCCTTGAAATCAAATGTTGTTCTCTTCTTGACTGCAGGAGTCAGCATATTGTTCCACAGAGCTTTGGCCATGGTCTGGTGGGCAAGCAGGGATGGGTGGAAACAGTCCAACTATAAATATAGAGATAAGGAGAAGATAAAACAGGTCCCAGATGTTGAAAATGTTTCTCACAGAGGAAAGGAAGTCAATGGGGAAGTCATCAGCCCTGGCCTCAGAGAAGAATGGCTGCGGAATTGCTGCAAAGTCATCGTACTGTTGCTCTGCCCACCAGGCTGCCACCTTCGTCAACAAGCACACAATGGCACTACTACTAACATCACTGTAATTGAGCTAGAGAGTAATAATAATATTACGGACAATACCTTTCTTGTCCTGGCATTATACTCTTGTGCCATTACGTCCAAATCTTTCCTACAAATGTACATTATTATGTCGGATGGTGAGCACAACAGTTGAGCTTCACCTTAGTTTCTCTCCTTCCTTCCCTTCAGTGAAGGCACACACACATTCAATGGGAATCAGTCGATGTACATCCTTACAGTACGTTGACTTCAGCGATAGCTCGTATATCTATAGAGACAACTCAATTTCACCCGCATGCTTTTTCTAGAAACTCCAAGTAAAGACACATTTGGACCATTAAAATTCACAGAGGTGTCTTTATAAGTGACAGGTGTACTTTAGGGAGGAGTCCATCATAAGACGTTAAGCTAGCTACCCAGAATAACCTGAGAGAGATTTCCCATCAAGACCAGATTGACAAATGTTCGCGGCAGAGATTTCTTGATCTCTGTCAGTGTCTCGTTCAAATGCTTCTCGTAGTCGTCTGGCGACAGGTACGGAATAATGTGCAGACATCTATAACAGTGGCAGAGAAATGAGGAAGTATTATAGTAATGGAAGAGAGATAAAACCCCACGAAATGCAAAGGTCATTGGCTCCAATCAAAAGAGTCAGCAACTTCCAGTCATTCTCCATATCCACATCTTTATTCTGAGCAAAATCCACAGTTCACAGATCAGATAATGCAGTCTGGACATAGTGTGCATAGTACCTCTTTGACTTGGTTGATGAGGTAGTTGAGCTCGTGTTTCACCACATCAGTGATCATGGCTCCACTCTGAGCAGCGTTGAATACATCTTTCCTTGGTTCATACTGCAGTGGTGGGCACAGCACATCATAGCACACCTGTAGGGAGGAAATAGATTTACACAATTTTGCAAAAGTCCATACTGGCGTACCTCAAATGCGTGGTTACCTACACTGCTACCAATGATATCAGGTGTGTAGAATCGCAGGAACGTTGCGATAGTTTGAGCGTTGCTGTCTCCTCCAATGCTAAACGAATTCCCCTGCAGGGAGCAAAGAGCGAGGTGTTGGCTGAACCAGTCGCGTCCTAGCTTACTCGGTATTCATAGAAGTCCTCCCAGACGAATATTCCGTGGCTGCCCATCATCCCAAACCCTGCACAACGAGTAATGGAGGCCGTAAGAGAGAGCTGATGGCTGCCAACCTGCAGTGATGCTGTCCCCCAACGCCATCACAACTTTTACGTCCTGCGGCTTCAGCTCGCGTACAGTCCTCGCCGGCTGGGTGAGGGGAGGCAGGGCCGAGCAGTTGAATTTCACTCCATCTACAGCCACCAGCCCCGTGACCACTAGGAAAACGAACAGAGAGACGACAGAGTCAGCCATAGTGCAGCTAGCTCCTAGCGAACAATGATTGGGGTCCAGCTACGCCCCCGCGTTACGTAATGGAATGAACGAAGGGGTCGGAAGGTCAAGCACGGTTCTTTCCTGTGTTTCTGCAGCGCTGTTGGAAGAGAGAGAAGGCCATGGACCGTGTAGACCAGCTCCCCCTGCCCAGTCTCCAGTGGTACGCCGCCTTCAGCTGCCTCTCCCTCCTCTACGTCCTCATATACGGAGTGACGTCTCCCGCTGGGCTCCTCAGCTCGCTACAGAACGACCTGTGGTGCTCAGCGGTAAGTAAGCCTCCAGCTATTTACCTCACGGCGCCCTTACCGAGCCGGCTGTCATTATCTGTCAGGCCATTCTGAACATGGGATGCTGCCTTCTCTTTCTTCTGGCCAGCTTCATCCAGAGCCTGGTCTTTGGAAGACTGCAACCTGTTGAGCAGCAAGTGAGAGGGTAGCACTGCCACGTCTCAACTAACTCTCCTCTCTCTCTCCCTACTCCGTGCAGCACATGAGGGACAAGTTCTGGAACTTTGTGTTCTACAAGTTCATCTTTGTGTTCGGGGTGCTGAATGTGCAGGAGATGAACGAGATGATGGGATGGTGTATCTGGTTCTCATTCCTCGGGACACTCCTCATCACAGAGCAACTCTGCAAGGACCGCTTTCAGCTGGTGAGTTTTCCACCCGCACAACTTGCAGTGTATTGCTTTATGTTTCCACCGCTCTCTTCTTACCTCCTCCCCCCCCAGTTGTCCTTCTCCCCTAACACTGTGGCTTACACCCACGCCAAGATGCTAGTGTTGCTAGTGATGGTGTTCCTAGCCTGCAGTGGTCTGTTCATGGTGGCTGCTGTCGTTGGCTGGCAACACGGATTCAGCCATTTTGCCTTCCTCTATTCCGAGGTGTTCATTCTCTTCGCCAGAACCATGCACACCATCATTCGGTAAGCTGGAGAGAGAGAGGGAGAGAGAGCGAAAAAAGAGAGACGTGTTCTGCAGGTATGTGATCCATCTGTGGGACATGAATCACGACGGGACGTGGGAAAACAGGTCTACGTATACCTACTATGCTGAGCTGGTTCTTGAGCTGGCTGCTCTGAGCGTCGAGTTTCTTCACCACATCCACATGTTGGTGAGCCCTTTTCCTCTCTAGTTGCCTAGACTTGCCAGAGACTGATAGGTTGCAGGAGCAGGAGGAAGGTTTAGGCAAAAGAGGGGGTAAATACGAAAGCTTGGGGCGAGATGGAGAAGGAAAAGTTTAGAGTTTGATAATGAAAGTTGAAAGTTTAGAGCAAGATAGGGGACAAGATTGAGTTTTTGCAGTGAGATAGACAAGAGATCAGATCCCCCCTCCCCCTCTTCACCCATGCTCCCTGTCTCAGATGTGGGCCAACATGTTGCTGAGTGTGGCAAGTCTCATTCTCCTCATGAAGCTGCGGTTCTTGTACCAGGAGATTCAGAGACGCCTTCGCAGGCACCACAACTACGTCCTCGTCAGTCGCACCCTTGAGACCAGGTATATACACACGTCTATCAAGAACACACTTTAGACTCTCTGCATGTATGTTACAATAATATAGTATTTAGTATAAAAGAGATGATGATAGCATAATGCCATAAGTTTGGTTCAGAAGTCGCATGAATTTCAATGATGTTGATCCTTGTTGTCCCCCCAGTATAATAAAATTCCCCCTGCCCCCTGGCCCCCCAGGTTCACTCTGGTGCAACAAGAGGAGTTGGCGGGAGGAGAAGAGATCTGCGCCATTTGCTGGGAAACCATGACAACCGCCAGGAGACTCCCCTGTAGACACATCTTCCACACGTACGCAAACCTTATATATAGTTACTGTATATACTGAATTCATTGGAATTGTGATTTCTCTCCCTCTGCTGTGTTGTGATAGAGCTTGCCTCAGACTGTGGCTTGAACAGGACACGGTCTGTCCGACGTGTCGATTCTCACTGAGTACAGAGCTGCAGACTGGAGGTGTGAGAGGTGGGGAGGGGAGGAGGGGAGGGGAGGGGAGGGAGGGAGAGGGGGAAGAGGGAATGAGGGACAGGTGGCGAAGGTTCCGTCGCCATAGAAACTGGCTCCTCCATTTCAACGGAGCCTCAATTGCCAGCTGGCTCCCCACCTTCTCCGTGGAACTGCATGAGGACGGAGTGATAGGCCCAGACTTGGCCGATCTCCACAGAGGGGTAAGCTCCTGTAATTAAATGAGAATTTATCCTCTATCTCATGTATTATAGGCCCAGCAGATCAGAGCAATGTTTCCCCACGTTCCGCTGCAAGCAATAACCCTCGATCTCGCAGACACCCGCTCCATTTCCCAAACTGTGGAGCACATTCTAAATAATGCCATCTACATACCCTGACAATGACGGAACTGCTCCGCAAGCCTCTCTAACACCAGACCCACCCACCACATCACCGGAGGCACGAAGCTCTCGGGAAGAGCCACACCCACTCCATGGTAACATTGAGGAGGAAACAGAGAGAGAGGGGAGAGAGAGAAGAAGAGGACGATAGCAAAGTACAGTCAGTATTGCGAAGGAGGAGACAGGTGTCATCAGAGAGTATTAGAGACAATCGGGGTAGGGGTTTCCCCCATGACGGGGGAGGAAATCAAGAGGTGGAGGAGGATGTGATGTCATTCTCATCCCTCCAGCGAAGGAAGAGGGAGCTCCTTGCCAACGCCAAGAGGTGAGGATTCTATACCCTATAATTATAGTAGTATATACAGTAGGGTTTTGTTTGGGCTAAGGATCAACGGCACATTATCCTAGGACCTGGTGCATTTATTTGTGTTAAAATCTCTGCATTTCTTCCTTGGAGCAAAAACCTACCATGCTGCAAATCTCCCTTGTCTTTATCTATCTCTTGTCTCTCTTTGACCCTGTGTCCTACAGATTGTTCTTACAGAGACACCTCCAGTGACCTACCAAACCTTTGAACATGCATTTCTTTACCAGATCAGATCATTTTGCTCATCTCTCTCTCTCTCTCTCTCTCTCTCTTCATCATACTCCTCTGTATATACAAACACACATTTCTTTTTTTTTCTGTCAAAAGATGAAAAGCACTAAAGTGCAAACCCTCGGCACACTCTATAGAAATGTGGAACCCATACACAAAGTGTGGCACCACCACAATTGATGGTCTTGACCATGCATCAAAAAGAACAGCATGTTATGCACCATTTCCATGGTCAATAAGGTTGGGGGGAAAATGGCCAGCCCTATTTCTGTTTTGAGGGCCCAAAAATATATAAGGTTGAAAAATTGCCACCCTTTCATCTCTCATTAATTTTCGTATTACCCGTGGATTGTTTAGTGCAAAAAAAACAACCTAAGGTTAAAAAAAAACGGCCCAGCCCTTCATCTCTCCAGACAGACGTCTACGGACGCAGTGCTATGCCGAACTGTACGCTGCCCTTTGAGAAACATGGGTCAGTGGTAGATTTGTGGGTAAGGGGAGGTACCAGAGCTGTTCCCAGCCAATGCTCTGGACCACCTGACATTTTAGTGCGGTATCGGGGTGAACCCGCACCTCTCGGGCTGGCCTTGAGAGGTAATGAAAAAACGTTCCATATATACCAACACTCCTATTACATCATTGTGAAAAAAAGGTGTACACACCCGGGATCGAACCAGGACTCACGATCAAGAGAGGGGGTGCTTATCCATCAGACCACCACCATTACTCGAATGGGAACAGTGTAAAGAAAAGCACTAAAGTGCAAACCCTCGGCGAACTGCGCATGCGCAAACTGCTAATTGATGGGCTGGGCTATTGGGGTGTATGCTGCTAGTAGTAGCTCGCGGAGGGAGTCTGACACGGGCTAGCTACAGTAGTAGATAGAATGCGGGAGTCGATACATACCCTTCGTTGTGACTTCTTGTGCCAAGCGGATCAGGTCGAGGTAAGCTGGCTTGTTCACTTGGTTTTCACGCCATAAACTTCTGAACGCGGCACTTTAGGAAAATCGCCATTTGCTGTATAATTATAGTAAGAGTCGGACTATTTTCTAGTGGGAGGGTCAGTTGGTGTGGGGCCTTCTTTGGTGTCCACTTGCTCCATGAGGTCTCTGATGTTCTTCTCCAAGTCTTCCACTCTCTTCCCCATCTCGTCCAGTGAGGGGGGAGACCCTTTAGTCAAGGCCAATTTTAGTAAATTGTACAGCTAGGAGCCTAACAAACTCTCACAAATTTGAGGTTTGGTTAGGGAAAAGATGGGAATTCTACATTGGTGGGTAGGATATGTCTCATGATTATTTGATCAGACATCTTCTTGAACTGCTCGTCCTGCGGGAAAATGGCTTACTTCGGCCCGTGTTCTCAGATATGCACCCTTACCATTTGCTTCAGCATCACTTCCACCTGCACGTGACGAAAACCAGTAGCTATTTGGCCGCGTGAAGGAGAGCTGGTTGGTAGAGCTATCGTACCTGCGTTTCCAAGGCCGTCTGGTCTCCTTCGGTCTCAGCCCGACCTGCGCCACTTCGATTTTCTGCTGCCATCTCTTCGCCACTCGTCAGACACGCCCACTAGTTTCTAATTAGCGCCCTCCTCGCTAGTGCAGCAGAATGGCTGCTGAAAGTAAAGGAAGGCAGAGATATGTAGTAGTGGGGGGCGGCGTGGCGGGAGTCTCGTGTGCCGAGGAGGTCACCAGCTGCCACTGTCTCTATGAATATCCAGTTACTGTGCTCCACTGTAGTTGGCAAGGCTGTCACCTGAATCGCAGGTGACTGTAGTCAGCGACTCTCCACTCATCAAGGCAGCAACCAACGTAGTTCAGCAGGTCTGGAGCCTGGCACGCACGCAACAAGCCCTGTAATGGTCTGCTGTCCCCATTCCATGCAGTCTCGGGTTCTGGAGACATTTGACGTGGAACAGAAACAGGGTTCCTATCTGGAACAGCGGTATGGGAACGTGACTGTACTCGCGGCCCATGTGACTTCTCTCATACACAAAGAAAAGGTCTGCCAGTGTGATTCATAATTGACAAACACATATTTGACAAACTGATCCTAATACTTTGACTATTAGTAGTGTTGCGCTATCTCACTGTTTACTTACTATTTCGTTAACCCCTCTCCTTACCTTACAGGTGGTGGAGACCTCTGATGGTAGACGTATACCATATGATAAAGTCTGCATTTGTACTGGAGCAAAACCTAAAGTAAGCCGTTTCCTTGGTGATGTATATATACCACTGGTGTTGGTGGGTATCATTTGTGTAGCTAATAGCTGAGGGGCACCCCCGAGTGATTGGTATTAGAGACACGGAGAGTGTGGAGGTAAGTGAGAGGGGAACGGGGAATGACCTGTTTTTTCGTAACTATGGAAATAGGAGAGGGAAAAAGATTTCGGTGGGAGCTGGTTTTGTTTCATTTCTTCCTCACAGGATTTCCAGAGAAAGTTGGAGGATGCCCGGAGGATTGTGGTAGTGGGCAATGGAGGGATTGCAACTGAACTGGTGTTAGTTAGCTCTCCCTTCCCTCGTCTCAAACGTTCTCCCTTCCCTCGTCTCAAACGCTCTCCCTTCCCTCTTCTCAAACCATGGTTGTGTTGTTGCACAGGTACGAGGTAAAGGGTTGCCAGGTTGTCTGGGTCATCAGACACACCGCTATATGCCACACGTTTGTTGACGAGGGAGCTGCCGTTTTCTTCCTCCCTCATCTCCATGACGACAGTGGTTGCCATGGAGACACTGCTGAGCTGAGAAAGAGGACTAAGTATGTGTGTGAGGGTGTGGGGGAAGGGAGGGAGGAAAGGGGGGAGGGGGAGAAGGAGAGAATTGGAAGTGCTCTAGGACCTGACTGGCACACAGGGCGACAGATGAAGGGAAGGAACGAGGTATGATAATCACATGACTCTCACATGGAGATCACCTGACTCGTACTAACAGGGTCCTACCCATGTTCAAGTTGAGTATGAGGTTGAAGTGAAGGAGATACTGACTGCCTCTCAGGTCAAATCCAGGGGGCTGCAGCCATCAAAAATTGGCCCCCGGCCCCCAGAGGAACCCCAGCTGGGGTACCAGTGGCCAATATTTGTGGCACTCACCAATGGGAAGGTGTTTGGGTGTGACCTTGTCGTCTCGGCAACAGGGGTTTTCCCCAACACCACGTGTTTAACAAGTTCAGCAGGTCAAACTGAGGTAGGCTACCTGAACTTTGACCTCCGATAATGGCCTCTTTCCCCTAGGTAGAGCTCAGCGAGGAAGGGGGTGTGGTTGTAGACAATCAGATGAGGACATCTCTCAGTCATGTGTATGCAGCTGGAGACGTCTGTACTGCACGGTGGACACACTCTCAGCTGTGGTTTCAGGTACACATTGATTGACACTCACTCATTGCCACCTGCCCCTTAATCTACATAAATTTATTTCCAATTCCACCAGAATGGCTAGAGAAATATACCACCAGACTGCCCCTTTTATACCACAGACATCAATCATTAATTTTTTTATACACCTCTTTGGGTGGTTGTCAGATGAGGCTGTGGACACAGGGAAGGCAGATGGGGTCATACGCAGCTAGGGCAATGGTGGCCCATTCCAGTAAGACCCCTCCCTCCCTCTCCCTCTCTCCCTTTTTCCTCTCAACATGCAGGGAATGAAGAAGTCAGCCTTGACTTCTGTTTCGAGCTGTTTGCCCATGTGACCAAGTTCTTTGGGTACAAGGTGGTCCTCCTAGGCCTGTACAACTCCCAGGGACTGGACACCAGCCAATACGAGGTGCTCCTCAGGTGCACCAAGGGTGAGGGGATCACATGATCCTGTCTCTTAGTCATGTGACTGTCATGTGAACAGGGCAGGAGTATGTGAAGGCAGTGCTGCGAGACGGGAGGATGGTGGGAGGTATTCTCATTGGAGAAACTGACCTAGAGGTATATATGTACTACCTTGGTTAAAGAATGAATAATATATATGAGGCAAGTGAACGCCAGAGTTACAGGCACAAGCCCTGTAGCAGTGATTGAGAAGTATAGTAGTCGGATTGTTAGTGAGGGGGTAGCCATGCCACTGAGCCCCTCCCTCTCTACCGACACAGGAGACATTTGAGAACCTGATTCTAAACCAGTTGGACCTGACTGACCTGAAGGACTGCCTCCTGGACCCGCGTGTTGACATTGAAGACTACTTCGACTGACGTTTCATTTTCACCCAAACCGTTTCCATTCACCATAAATATTATACAGATTCATAATAATATTTACACGAGAATGAAGATTTCTCTAGATAGTGTATTCAGCCAATGCTAAAAGAGAGAGAGAGAGGAGAGGTGGAGATAAAGTATATACAGTAGTTCAGTGATAAGAGACATACACAGGAGTTTAGTTTCAGAGTTTTCATGTATGAGCAATAGGCCGGGTCAGTGAGAGAGAGGCGAGATAGAAATACGGTCTCATCCTTCCCTCTTCCTACCTCGCCTCTTTCTAGTAAACTCTAGTGGTACACTTTCCAGCCAAGTGTCGGAACGACATGGCGGGCTCCTCACCTATCCACAAGAGAAGGTTTGAGAGTGGTGGAGACGGCCTGTGGCTGCTGGTCTGTGAGTCTGAAGACACTCTCAATGACAGAGAGCTCCGTACTGGTCGTGTCCAGACCGCAGAACGCACACCAGTCGTTCACCACCATGCCTGCCGACAGCACGTCACTGCCTCTGTTGACTGTACCTGCCTGGGGAGAGGGAGGAAGATTTGTAATTTTTTTGGTTGGTTTACTATTGCCGGGTAAAGGGAGCGAATACACAGTTTGACTCACCACTAGAGGGACTTGTAGCAGTGAAGACAGCTCGTCCTGATCCTCTATCTTTGTCTTCGGGTGGACCTGGAGGGAGGGGAAGCCCCTGTCAGTTAGCAGCTGCCGGGGAGTAGCAATACTCACCAGGCCTCCTCTATTGGAGAAACAGCAGTAGGTCCCGACGAGAACATTCCCAGCAACCGTCTGTTTGAACACTTCCACATTCAGGGTGTCTGCTAGGACCTCCTCCGTCTCCTGCAGTCATGTGACACTCACATGACACACACACTGCCAGTCTCGGCACTGCACACAGTTAAGTACACAACAATTGTAGTGAGTAATCCTTTCCCAAAAATGGGCACATGACTTTAATAACAGTGCTCTTCAAATAGAAAATAGTTGAGTAGTCAAAGCAGGAGAGAGAGAGAGAGCAATGGATGAATACATGTGTACCAACAGGACTGCCATAGAGCATGAGGACTCTCTGGTGGTAGCCAGAGGTCTCACGGCAGCCGCTGGGAGCTCACTGACAACAGCAGCTGTCATCTACATCACAGTCCACCAGTCTTTCAGGACCCCACTCCAGAGACTGGTGCTGGCTCTGACACTGGCCACTGCCGTCAACCTGCTAGCTATGACACTACAGGTAGAGCCTCCTCCTACTCTTGCCTACATGTTGAAACCCTCTGTTGCCTACAGATACATGTAGGGAGTGAGGTGTACTGTGCAGTCACGGGATACCTAGTCCAATTCACCAGCAGTGTCGGTGTGGTCTTAATCACTGGCACTGTCTTATACCTGTGGCATGTCATACGGATGGCTGGCCGCCTGCAACGCACACACACACCCTCCCAGACCTCTCACTGGATCGAAATAATATTCACCTTTCTCTCCTCATCCTTCCTCCCTCTCTCTCTCAACTGTGCTTACCTGTTATCGGGGGCCACGTACGGGGCAGGCCGGGCCCCTTTTCGTGCGGCTGCCCATCGGTGCGCCCCATGCCACGGCGCATCAATTAGGCCCCCTCTGCACAACTCCAGATTCGGCCTTCTCGTATACCAGGTATGTTTTCCCTTTACCCTGGGTGTCACTCTACCCATTTTCCAAACCTTAACTCTCGCAAAACCATCCATACCCTACCTAGTTCCCCTCTGGTAGGATGGAAATCTCCTGCCCGTTTACTGCCACTGGCGCCCCAGTCATTAGTATTCCGTCTCAGAGACAAGTTTCCTACTGCTTCATATGATTTTCGGCAAGCGGAAAAGTTGCTACTCAATCTCGTTACTTCCCTGTCACGCCGTATTTCTTCGTCTTGAACCATATGCCCCTTCGCTTTTTTGTGGGTCCTAGATCGTCTGACGCGAACCTGTGCAGTCTTATTGGCTCTCTGACATGACGTCCATGCCGTATCCACCAGATATTACTGCTGCTTGGCTCGGTGCATTACTGTCCCTGTTTTTTCTTGTGTACCTTTCTACCACCCTAGGAGCGTGGTCATTGGGCTCTCACATTTTGCCTTGCCCTGTGTCTTTCCAGCCACCACAACTTTGACAGAAACGTTGCGGGAGCCAATGGAGGGAAGGTACAATTGACGGGGGAGCAATGAAGGTGCTTACTGAGAGGGGGCGGAGTGTGAGGGTACAGACAGATTTTGACCACCGTAATCGCTCCGCGGGTTACCGGGGATACTCACATCACCCCTGTGCCGTCCTACTACGCTTGTTGATGTTAGTCTCACAAGAGGAACGACCGATGATCCTCTTCACGCTACACGTCATTTTCCAAAACTTACCTGACTTACGTCCATTGAGACCTATTGCTTTTGTCCCAACTCCATTTACATAGTGGGACATCTCGCACACAGCAGTGGACGTTTGCGAAACTTGAGTAAGAGTTGCCGCAATTACCTAGCCCTCCAAATACTGCACCTTTGTGTCACCCAGCCGATTGCATAGCTCCGAAGTCGTTTACGCACTTTTCCTTATTTAATGGTAGTGGCTCGTGTGTGGATCTACACACCAGTTACCCTCCCATACCCAGGTCAGGTTCGCAGGCTGTCTGACACACACAACTCTCCGGACCCTCATAATAGTCGTTACAACGCAAACGACATTCCCCCCGGCAGTGCACGACACGTTTCTCCTCATTCCCTCTGTATCTTGACCTATGTCAGGCAGGGAGTTCCTCAGGTGCTGCAAATCCTGAAGGTGAGGGAAGGGAGGAGAGAGGAGAGATGGACGAAAAAAACAAACTAACAAACTTTATGAACAACTTATAGTCTTACCTGGTGCATGTGGTGGGTTGGGCACCAGGAGTCCGTTGTCTGTACTATAGGCCGTAGAGAGACGGTACTGTGACGGGGACCATAGACGAGAGAGGTTATGTCTCACCACACACACAGTCTGCCGATGATCCTACAGTCCGCTATAGAGGGCAGACACCACTGGAATGCGTCGTCCAGACAATTGCCCCTTCAACCACACTGTGTGGTGGTAGGAGAGAGACACTCACGTGAGACGCTGGAGCGCTCGGATATAATACTGTAGACAGTTTGCGGAGCCCCGATGGCCCCGGGGCAGTATTTGTTTGTGAGCGTCGAGAAGACGCGACCTCGCTGTTGCCTTCGAACTCTGAACACGAAACGCCATATATAGTCGTCTCCCTACAGAGTCATGGGTAAGGGGTTAATAGACGATGAATGTCGCACAGTACAGAATACGAGAGCGAAGACGAAAAAGAGCTTGCACCAACAGTTGGCAATGTCACGTGTTGAGTTCAAAGTTCAGTGACGTTAACCTTGCACATGTGTGGAGATTTGCAAAAGGACAAGGCGCGGGTGCTGGCGGAGGGAGTAGACATGAGCAGGAAAGGTTAGGGTGGACGCGCCTCTGCCTTTGGTGGGCTACTGAAACCGCTGCGACTGGTACTACGCAACCAGCTCATGCTCTGGGACGACAATAGTGCTCCTTGCGAGGTGGCTTCCTTCATATGCGCACGACGCCCAATTGAGCCGCCCATTCAGTTTGCGCGTGCGTGCGTGTGGATGTGGAAGCACGTAGCGGCACCTCGTCACCAACTGTAGGCGAAGAGCGAAGAAGGAAAGGTTTTGCAGCTGGGTGCTTGTTTATCACATGATCCTTTGTTGAATTCAGGCCAGACTGTTGTTTAGTTAGTCCATGCAGTGAAACTTACCAATTCCCACTCTTTCCCCCTCCCTTTCCTAATAATAGTGAGGAATTTGTACTGAGTGTGAAAGACCTAGACGAGACACAATCACAGGACTTTTTTTTCTTTACCTGCTCTACTCCTTAAGTTATAGTTGAGACTCTTTGTGCTGCATGTGATGTGTGCCACCCCTATGTCTGATGCAACGACTTTCCTTATTGGTCCGAGCTAAAAGATTGGTTCTATCTAGACGTTCGCTGTTTGGGTTTCCTTCTTTAGCTGCAGACGGCGGTTGCGTCGGTCCGATTCGTAAATCACGGTCTGTCGGTGTGGGCAAAACGGGATTAGAGGTGGAGGTTGCAGAGGGAGTAGGGAAATAGAGGCCAACCTCTCTCTCACAATTTATGCTCAGTTAGTCCGATAGCATTCACACTAGTAGTGTGGTACTTTTTTTCCTTCCTCCCCCCCCCCCCCCTTTTCTTTTTCCCCCGCGCTTTCTCGCTTCCCCTTCGGCTGCCGCTGCCCACGACAATTCAATACCTCCTCACTAACATGCACTTTTGGTATTACACAAAACGTGTATATACCCGGTTCTGCTTCATCCCCTGGTTACCGTCCTGCTGCCAGTACTGGCAGCAAGTGTGTGGAGGTAGGGTGGAATGCAAAAACTGAGGTTGAAAACTTACCAGAGAGTGACAGGTATATTATACTACATAATTTATAGTGGTTGTAATAGAAACCCTAAATAAACGCACACCACTAATAAGAGATGGTATGATTTAGGACAAAACAGTACTGACAGTGTGGCCTCTATGGACAGGTTCAACAGGGAGTGAACTGGTTGCCATATGAGAGGAGAACGGATCGATCTTGTTAGAAATGTGAAGTAACCACCCCATAGAACGAAGAGATCAAGCCTCTTATATCCGCTGCAGAAGAAAACGATCCACAAATACATATCGTGGAGTTTCACACAATAAGCCTTTCTTTTTCTTTTTTTCTCAGCTAATACGGCAAAGGAACCCCTCCCTCGAAATGTGACCAATGACGATCGTTTATAAGCAACTTATTTATTGTTGCCAGTAATTATAAGCAAATTATGACATAGTGCCAACATGGACAGTAAAACAGCAAAGCTGTCCGTCTGCAAAATAGAAACTTACACCAATTCTAGTGCACGAGGGCCAAGCAGTTCTGTGTGTGAGTGTTGCTTCATGTCAGTTCGTGCCCATGCCCAGTTGGGAATAAGGTGGCTGGGGGAATGGAGGGATCCTTTGGGGATAAGTGGGCTCCCCTGTCGACTATCCGCCGGCAAATGTTGTCACAGCGTTGGCCAATACCCAGGCTTCGTGTTGAAACATTCTGGGCGAGAGATTCCTATTGACACGTTCCAGCTTTCCTGGAACCCAGAACTTTCTCCCCTGAGGACATACGTAGGTGACGGAGAAGTTGAGAGGAGCAAATAGGGGGAATGTGTGCTTTATACTCTACGCTTGAGATTCGTATCCTTTCCCGGTTTCTCTTGCTTTTTTTCCCTCCAGGAACTGTTGGCTGGGAAGCGAAGAATGCAGATCCAACCTAACCACATTTTACAACCACACAACACACACAATTCCAATCTTCACGTAGAACTCAGGAGGGTGTCTTATATATTTTAGGCCCCCATCCTTTGCTAATTACAGGGAGAAGGAGGAGAGTGGTAAATTACACTAACCTTGCAGATTCTAGTTGGAAGTTTCCTCATCTGTGTGAGGACTCAATGGAGGAACCGCCAAGGGAACTCGTAGCAGAGGACTCCGAGGACCCAGATGTCAACTCTCTCGTCGTGCTGCTTGCTCTCCACTCATCTCGGAGGCCACCAGGTATGTACGCTGTGTACAACTAACTATGGTTGGTCCCCGTTACTGTTATGTCTAAAACACCACAAATATAGATGACCGATACATATTACTTAGACCGCATGGGCAGGGTTAGGCTGTTGACAAATTCCAAAGCCCTCTTTAGCCAGAATTTTCGTATTATTGGACTTTCCACCACTTCTTTTTGCCAAACTTCAAACCTTTTTGGAATGTTACTGCCCGTAGAGGGAGCGCTGTACCACGCCACCCGCACGTAAATCCCGAGCACGTTTGACCGGTATCACCCACCTCAAAGTTGCGAGCAGTTTTACTGGCTTAATGTACTCTGGAATGACTTTCTGGTAGTCGGGGACAGTAGTGAAGTGGTCCGTCGGCCCACAGATGCGCTACGTACGAGGGGTCCGGACGTGGCCATCCCCTTTAGCTGGGTGTGTGTCACAGGCTAGGCGCCGGCAGTGATCACTCTTTTTGTGGCCGATCCTCCTTCTGCTTCTGGACCTTTGTGCGCCATTTCTCGAGAGTTTCCTCTGATAGACTCGCCGCGGGTGAGCATACTAAGGATCTCCAGGCGTAGATCCTGTACTGTAGTAGAATACCCAATATGAGCAGGAGTGAGGTGGGATGCCTGCGGAAATCATTTGGTATTGTGGTTTAAACTCCCTCCATTAGCGGGGCAAGCTTAATGGTCTCGAAGGTGGGATGTATCTCGATCTTCGTCTCAGTTGGTGCTCACCCACTGGGGCAGTTGTAATTTCTGGATTTTTCGTGATACCCAACACTGACATGTCAACACAAATACGAGGCCAAGGTGGGTTATTTTGAACTTTTTTTTTTTTTTTTCTTTCTCCCTTC